GGGGAGATTGTGTCCTCTTGCCTTACACCCTTCTTGATTGGTATTCTGTTGCTTTCTTTATGAAGCACTATGGTAGCAGTCGATCCCCTGTAGATTTCTTCCAGAATGTTTATATATACTTCATCTACACCCTGATTCCGCAGTGTCTGCATGACGGCTGATATTTCTACTGAATCAAACGCCTTCCCGTAATCTATGAAGGCTATGTATAGTGTTTGGTTATACTCTGAGCATTTCTCTATTACCTGATTGATAGTATGAATGTGGTCAATTGTTGAGTAGCCTGTTCAAAATCCTGCTTGTTCCTTCGGTTGATTGAATTCTAATGTTTTCTTTACTCTGTTAGCAATTACCTTTGTAAATGCCTTGTACACTACAGAGAGCAAGCTGATCGGCCTGTAATTCTTCAAGTCCTTGTCATCTCCTTTCTTATGTATTAAGATGATGTTAGCGTTCTTCCAAGACTCTGGTACCCTTCCCGTCAGGAGACACCTCGTAAACAGGGTGACTAGTTTTTCTAACACAATCTGTCCTCCATCTTTCAGCAGATCTGATGTTACCTGATCCTCACCAGCAGCTTTGCCTCTTTGCATGCTCTCCAAAGCTTTTCTGACTTCTTCTATCATTACTGGTGGGGTGTCATCTGGGTTACTGCTAGTTCTTATCGTGTTAAGGTCGTGGTTGTCTCGGCTACTGTACAGATTTCTGTAAAACTCCTCCGCTATTTGGACTATCCTTTCCATATTGGTAGTTATTCTGCCTTCTTTGTCCCTTAGTGCATACATCCGACTTTTGCCTATCCCAAGTTTCCTCTTCACTGCTTTGAAGCTTCCTCCGTTTTTTAGAGTGTGTTCAATTCTCTCCATGTTATACCTTCTTACATCGCATACTTTACGTCTATAAATAAGCTTCCAAAGCTCTGCCAGTTCTATTTCGTCTGTTGTACTTGACACTTTCATGATTTGACGCTTCTTAATTATGTTCTTCGTTTCCTGGGAAAGCTTGCCAGTGTCCTGCCTAACTACTCTGCCTCCAAGTTCCACTGCACACTCCGTAATGATATTCGTCAGATTATCATTCATTGTATCTACGCTAAGGTTGGTTTCCTCACTAAGGGCCGAGTACCTGTTCTGCAGTGACACTCTGAATTCCTGTACTTTCCCTCTCAGTGCTAGCTCATTGATTGGCTTTTTGCGTATCAGTTTCTGTCGTTCCTTCTTCAAGTCTAGGCGAATTCGTGACCGTACCATTCTATGGTCACTGCATCGTACCTTGCCAACCACTTCCACATCCTGCACGATTCCTAGGTGTGCAGTCATTATAAAGTCTATTTCGTTCTTATTTTCGCCATTAGGGCTCCTTCATGTCCACTTGCGGTTTTCTCGTTTTCGGTAGAAGGTATTCAAAATCCGTAAATTATTGCGTTCTGCGAATTCTACTAGTAGCTCTCCCCTGGCGTTTCTAGTGCCGATGCCATAATCTCCTACTGCCTGGTCTCCAGCCTGCTTCTTCCCTACCTTTGCATTAAAGTCGCCCATCACTATAGTATACTGTGTTTTTACCTTACTCATTGCCGATTCCACGTCTTCATAGAAGCTTTCAACTGAAGTGTCATCATGGCTGGATGTAGGCGCGTAAGCCTGTACTACCTCCATCTTGTATCTTTTATGCAGTTTAATTACAATACCTACCACCCTTTCATTGATGCTATAATATTCCTCTATGTCGCCAGCTATGTTTCTGTGAATTAGGAACCCCACTCTCAGTTCTCTTTTGTCTGCCAAGCCCCGATAGCAAAGGACGTGCCCATTCTGTAGCACCGTATAGGCCTCATCTGTCCTCCTAACCTCACTGAGCCCTATTATATCCCATTTAACACCCTCTAGTTCCTCGAATAGTACAGCTAGACTTCCCTCACTAGATAAGGTTCTAGCGTTAAACGTTGCCAAGTTCAGGTTCCAATGGCGGCCTGTAGTCCAGAGATTCTTAGCACCCTCTGCTGCGTTGCAGGTCTGACCGCCACCGTAGTCTGTTGCTTCGCAGCTATTGAGGACTGAGGGCCGTGAGTTATTTGGCGTATCCATGTGGGAGGTAGTGGCCAGATACTGCAGCAGGGTGGCCGATCCTCCTCTGGTGAGGGTGTGCGTTCCCGGCGGTGGTTACCGGTGAGGCCGCACCTCAGGCCTCTTAATGCAGTTCCATCAACTCGCGGTGTTTTTTTTTTCTTTTTTTTTTGTCCGACTGTTCTTGTTTTCACAAATTCACACTGTTTTCCGCTCGTAAAACTTAAAATTTTTGTTTGTTATAGCAGTATTTGTAGCGGTTGAACTCCTTGTATCTTCACGACCAAATAGACACCACTCTGACCCTCCTAGGACCAAAATTGCTAAAGTTATGGGTAGATATGTGCAGAGCTCACTTACCCGTGCTGTTGACGCGGCCGCTCCCGCTCCCGCAGTTGGAATAATTTGTGCTTATTGGCTAAGAGGTGGAGGAGCAGTTCCGGTGGGCTTAATTCGCTGTGGAAGCTGTTTCGCCAAACCCAGCTCAAGCAGTGACAGCAGTCCGGCAACACTGAGCGTGTCTTCTGAATAAGTCTCTTTTGACGCTCTCAGTTGAATTGGGCGCTCGCGGTTTTTTCTACGGCTATCTTCGGATTTTAACGATTCAATTGAGACCTGATTTGTCGTCCTGGAATGTGTAAAAGCCGAGATATGACTCGTTGTTCTCAAAGTGGTTTGGTCCCACACAAGATGGTGGCCCCCATATAGTCATAATGTGGGAAAAATTTCTTGTGGGTTTGTTTGAATTTTTTTTACGCGTGCAGCGTAACGTGTGCTGCTAGGCAAGCCATAATAATAACGTTTATTAGTGGTCACCAATTGCGAAGCATTACTTAGCGAACCAAAGGCTAAACGAATAACAAAAAAACCCCAATATTTCCACAGGTATTAGCATGACAAGTCAATGAAATTATAAGATTAATTTCCAACCCCTGGATACAGGAAAGATAGCTTTTGCTTTTCGCATTTAGCGCAGGCAATTAGCAAAGGACAATTTCAGCACAGCTGACCATGTGCTTGGAGCTTTAGCAATAATGTCATATAAATTTTGTCCAGAAACAAAAAGCCAGATGCCATCCACGAGGAGTAAAAATGAGAAAGCGTTGTTTATGTTAACACTATTATTCATGCAGATGTTCAAGAGCATTGGCCCTAAGCTGTTTTCTTGAGGCACGCCTCATGAATTATTTTTGAAGAGACACAGACATTTAGTGTCTCAAACACACTTCTGTTTACGCCCCTCTCAGACAGGTTACCTCTCAGCTAAATATGAACATAATGTTAATTAGCAAGTTCACATCATATATAGGCGCCTAGCTTCCCGAATGAAATGCGATAAATTAGAGTATCATAGGGTATCACAGGCTTTGCCATGGCCACTTAAAACATGCAGCTTGTTATTTTGCTTTTTGCTTTTTTTAATATAAAGTATTTCTGAATAAACAACGCAGTCTGTGTGGATTTATAACACTGAAAATTATGCGAACGTTTTTTAAAATATGCTGCATTTGTTTGGGAAACTTGAAGCATTTGTAGCATGGCTCAGTCAAATATGCTTACACTAAGACAATTTTCCCAGTTTCTCCACGAAACAGCACTCATAAAGCAAAAAGTGTCTTTGCTGTTTTCTTTGACTCCTGTGGCTATTTCTTACAGGATCGCATATTGTCCGCAGTGTTGTTTGAATGCTTATTTGCAACGGAGGATAAGCGAGCGCATCTAGACGGTTAATTCTTCACACGCTACTTCCTGCATGCACACATTTGCTCATATTTCGTGTGTACGTTACATGCACGCCGCCGCGAAATGCGCGCATAACTAACTATTTGTTATAATGAAAGAGCGTATGCGTTAAGAGCTTTCGTTACGCTTTGTCTAATGACGAAAACATAAAATTCAATGCTCCCATATTCGACTAGGCTAAGTTTTGAGCGCTCACATCTTTGTGGAGGAGCGATTGCCAGTTAATTTGTTAATTTTGTCACCTCTTTAGATGAATCACCAGCGCGGTTGCTCAGGTCACGGGATGGAATCCCTGCTGTGGCGGCCACCTTTTGACGGTGGAGAATTGCTGGGGGCCCGTGTACCTGTATTTAGGCGTACCTTAAAGAACATCGAATTGTCAATACTTCTGGACAATTCTACCACAATGTCGCTCATAATCGTATCGTGATTTTCCAACACTTATAATTATTATATTAACACCCAAATTTAACTGATACGATCATCTCTATAATTATAACTATTACGTTTATGAGATCTGATATCGTCTCCTTTTACTGGCTTGTTTACTCTGTAAAGCCCCTAAAGAAGCTAATGCTAATATAGCATGAATGAACAAGAATAGACTAGAATTACTCCACCATGGATTCCTCTTCAACCGCCTCCTTCTCGCTGGTGTACGGTAGCGTTCCTGTCACTTCTCCAATGCATAGTAAAGCACGTACACGACCGCAGTGACTGGCCTTCCCCTGTCTGGCCTCGAAGGCAGCGTCGACTGACGTCACATGTGTATATCTCGAGTGGAGCATGCGCCTTAGTTCTAGGTTTACCGTACAGGAAAACAATGAAGACACATCCGGTATTACGGTGAATGCCCGCAGAACGCCCCCTCCTTTCCCATCTCTATCCTCGGAGTTGTCTGTCAGTCGCCGGCGCTTATTTGATCGCCGCGCGAGACATCTCAATTTTATTTTCACCCGGCCCCTTAAAGAACAGTGCGTGCTTTCCACGCTTCGTAAGTGGTCCGTGTGGTACTCTGTATGTATCAGGCAACCTGACGCAAACGGTGTCTGATAACAGCGGCATATCATCGAGCCCAGAGACATCGATGAAATCACAGCCTCCCTCTCTGCTCGCTCCCAATCTCTCACCGCTCTCTACGACAGAGCACGTGTAGCTGTCCAGACGCCCATTCCTTATCGCCAGGATTAGATAAATGAGCTAGTAACGTGATCACACGCTGGTGGTCTTGCGCTATTCTCCCGTTGCTGCTTAGTTGCTGCTGTGCTCGAATACGCTCGCTGCTTGACAGCACGTGGTGCTTTGCAGGATCTGCTGCTTCTTGAGTCTGTCTCTTTCTTCCTCGTTCTCCAACGAGGACCTCTGCAGGCCCTCGCATTTCACTGCTGGCGACCACAGAAAGCGCGGAAAGACGTTCAAGTTCCTGATGTGTGCTCGTTTCGTTTGACGACGCCGAGAACAAAGGGTCTACCATGAAGATTGGCATGCACTCCATCACGCTGGCAGTGACCTTTTTTGTCACATTCGTGTCTTCGGCACCTTCCGTGAGACAAGGGCATGAGAAATGTGGATACGAAGTGAGTACATGTAATTTTTGTGCATCTCCATACGGAAGCAGCTGTTTGGGTTGAAGGTTGTAGGGACTGCTGATGAGGCACTTTAATAATAAATACGAAGCATTGCTTAATCATCCAAAGGCACATTGATCATTTATAATAATATATATTATCGTCTGCGTCTAGTTGTTCTTGTGGTCGCCTACGCAACTCAGTGTATACCAGGTTTCACACAAGAGGGCATGACTGTACGTTTAACATGCGCGACACGTCCCAATGTGAATAACGTCACAAGCCTGTCATATCATGAAACCCTTTCCTTGTTTCACGCGTAGTGCTACTGCCATACCAAGGTCGGCTATAAGCTGGTATGGGACATAGGTGATTCACAGTTGGTGTCATGGGTGAAATAGCTTGAACACAATAGTAATTTTCGCGCAAGAATGTTAAAAAGCCTGCGCTGCACGAAATCTGGTGTTGGTGTCGTTGTCAGCGGGTGAAAAATCTCAAAGGGTACATACCATAAACTCCAAGATTTCAGTCGAAATTGAACCCAGACATTCTGTGTCAGTCATGTATTCTGCCATAGAGTGATGCCAGATCTTGGAACGGCTATGAAGAATGACACTATGCAGGCTCCATGTGTCACCCACATAGATTTTGGTAGAAGTGGTATCAATGTTAGGTACCCGCATTTCTAGCCATGCAATCGACATTACATGTCTGCGATTATGACTAACCAAGCTAAAACTAAGCATCGTTGTACTCCGGAGGAATACGATAACGCTACGCATAACTGACATCCCCGTAACTCGCCGGGGAGCAGACACTTCGTTAAAAATTAAAAAAAACTGATGTCTGTGCCAAAGCGTAACCTTGGACTATTAAGCTACTCTTCAAGTTCGCGTGCATAGTAAACCAATGACGTGCCCTCCGTATCGATGTTTTTCCACGTCGTATGGCTTGGCTAAAAGGTAAAAAGAGAATGAAAATAAAGCATGGAGAGCTAGTCGCTGGCTCCTTCATATGAAACTGGCACCCACCACAAATAAGTGGGAGAAAACGGAAGTCTTGAATTTTTAATACTTATAATATTACTACATTATTATAATATTATTTAATTATTATGATTAATGTTATTATTATTATTATTATTATTATTATTATTATTATTATTATTATTATTATTATTATTATTATTATTATTATTATTATTATTATTATTATTATTATTATTATTATTATTATTATTATTATTATTATTATTTTAGAGAAGTACAGGGAAAAGCTGTGACAGTGTGGAGCCAGTCGATGGCTTCCGCAGCTTTCGTGTGCAGTTCAGGTCCGGCACTATATGAAAGAGTTCTTTTTTTTCTTCCGTTGCCACAGGTCACATTTTAATATTATAATAATCTGTTGTAATTTTAGGAAATTTTCTTTGCAGCTTCTTGAGATTGAAGTTAATGTAGAGTAGCTATCGCGACGATGGTGTAAAACTACTTTACAAACACAGCAAGCATACTTGCCATCAAAAACAAACAACTCTAACATTGACCTTTAACCACTGTTATGAAAGGAAAGAAAGTGGACAGATGGAAAATGGTGAAAGGGGGATGGGGTCGAAGGGGTAGGCTGCGGGTGTGTGGAAGTGAAGTCTATATGCAAAATAAATATCCTTAGGATTGAACGCAAATACTTAGGGTGATTACAAATGACGTGCCGCATAGTTTACGCAAAAGTGTCGGGGACGTTCAAAAACCTTTCACCGTGCATTTTTCAGCTTGTATGTGCGCACACACACACACACACAAACACACACAGAGCATTCGGACAAGTATGTTCCCCAGCACGCACTCCAACGCCTCACCCCTCCCCCTAGCTATGCACTGATGTACCATGCATTGTCTGTCTCCATGCCTTCTCTTCCCCTCTATTCCCCTCTCTTTTTGCGGGGTAGCAAATTAAACGTTGTTACCTAGACCTTCCGCTTTTTCTGATCGCTTTCTTTCCCCCTCTCTATGTCAGGTCACGCGCCTCGAACACCAAGGAGCAAGTTCAAAAACAAAGCCTGTCGGCATGCTCTCGCTGGTGCTGAAGAGTAGTCCTACTACAAACTTTTCGTTCTCACTTGCTGCTTGCTATTGGCTGCCAATTTATGAGTGACATTGCAATAGGCTGGCGATGTGTATTTCGGTTGGTTTCCAGCATGTATTCGTGTCAGAGTGTTTCTGAACAGCGAAGCCTTGAAGCAGAATTACGCAATGCTTTTTGCGCAGCGACTTGGAAAGGCGCAGTGAGACTTCTTGGGCAAGTTGGTGTGACTTAGGAAACTTTACTTGCAGCAATAAAACAAAACACACAGCGAAAAACACACAAACTCATAGAGCACCAGGTGGTGCTATGTGCATCTCACCGCGTCCGTTGTTTTTGTGCTGAAAGTCCTGTTCACTCTGAAAGACATCTGCGGGTGGTGGCAATGTAGACATCGGTAGTATCAGATGCCAGTAGTGCACCAGCGGTCTACGTTGTAAACATGCTCTAACCTCCCTGTCCTTCGTCTTTCAATCCTCCTCCTTCTTTCACATTATTAATACGAGAAAGTTATTTTGTATCACTGAACTATCAAGTCGCAATACCGAAAGTGCTACTTTCGCAGCGATAAAGGGTTTGGTAAGGCAGAATACGTTCAAAAAGGAAATCAGGCGACGCGCTCCTTGAGGCTTCCGCACCAACTCGTCATGAACACACACACACACAACGCACACACACACATACATACATACACACACACAACGCACACACACACATACATACATACACATACACACACACGCACGCACACATACATACACATACTAACCTCCCTGTCCTTCCTCTTTCAATCCTCCTCCTCCTCCTCACATACACATACACACATGCACGCACACACACGCGCACACACGCGCGCACACACACGCGCACACACACACACACACACACACAGAGAGAAAGGAAGGAAGGACTACGAATACGCAGCGATTTGGTTGGCCCACGTGCTGGTGCGCTAACGTTTAATCATGAAGTATAACAAACCAGCGAAAGTTTCACTCTTTGTGACGTCACCTGCGTTGATGATGTTTACTAGTTCTTACATAGTTCCTCCTTACTGGTGAAAATTTATTGAATCGAGTTCTACTAGAGTGACATGCATAGCCATTCAAATCTGAGAAACGATTTTTTTTATGCAAATACGAAAGAAGACCGTGAAACCTTGGTGTGAAGCCGCAGTTCAGGTCGCGCTATTTCGGCCAGAAACACAAGATTCTCTCTGAAGTAATGAACCCATGATTGCGAAATTCAATATCGTCCAAAACATTCGGCGCTTAGGATACGTCCGCAGAAGCCGTACGGACGCAGCCTGCCAGCCATTCGCGATGGGAGGTTGCGTCCGTACGGCAGCTGCGGACGCGCAACTAAATCTGGCTAATGATGTAAGAAATATTGACGCCCAAATCGTCGAGCTGATTCTCGATCCCCACTTACATTATGGCTTTTACGGCGTTATGGAGTGCGATATGCACTTCACAACGTTTACTCCGGAAGTTTGAGGCTTTCATTCCAATATGAAACCATTGTATATGTAAAATGTTATGCACGTGTAGAGGGGTACTTGTGTGAATATTTACGTAATCTTCCTGTTTCTTACCTAATTGCTTCGAAATCAGAGCCTTTCATAAGCGCCATTACAGCGACAGTGTGCGTGCTCAAATATATACGAGATGTTTCGTCGTACAATTGTGTGCTCTCATGAGTGACTACGCCAATTTGTACCGACCTACTTAATTCATGTCAACCTTGCGGAACAAGATGCGCCTTTCACGGTTCACATCTCGAAGAACTTATGCGTGTATACATTTCACTTCACAGAGCTGTCCAAAAGCGAGACCGGGCATGATGAACGTCCACTTGCTGGCCCACACACACATGGACCTCGGGTGGCTTAAGACAGTCGACCAGTATTTCTACGGAAGTGAGTGCACCTTCGTCATCAGCCTTGCCATGCGGTTTTCTGTCAAGCAGCGCATGTTTGAGAACGCTTTCTAGAATCATCAACACTTTAAAGGTCTTGGAAGTTGAGGGTTGTTTGTGTATGCGTGTGTGTCTGTGTCAGGGAGAAAGAGAGAGAGAGAGAGAGAGAGAGAGAGAGAAAGAGAGAGAGAGAGGTTGTTTACATCGTGTTTCCCAGCTGCAGCGATGCTCGGTTGCTGAACCGAGACACATGGAGTCAGTCCTAACCACGACGGTCGCATTTCGATGGAGACGAGCGCTACTAACCAAGAAATAGATCGTTACAAGTGAAAGCTAAAACAGCAAGGGCTTGAACCACCACAAAGAGCGGTTACGCTGTGCTCCATGTGTCATTAAAATTTGTGGTAGGCTGCTAGGAAGTTGAGCGTGCCAAGACAATCGTTATACACCGAAACAAATGGTTCTTCTTACGGCTTTTCATCTAATTATTTTTGTGGGAAATATACGATACCAAAACTTATGACAGGAGAAATGCCGTCAACGAGACAGACTAATTACGCTGCACTTACAAGAGTGGTCTAGCACGGAAACCTATGGAGGCTGCATCTCAGACATTTCATAGTCTTCCTCGTGGCAGTTGAATTACATTTAACTTTGTGCCCGTGTACTTGGGCGGCACTGTACTACATATAAGTTTCACAGCGACTCGATCATACCCATAAGATAAGGAAAATAAGGTGCTGCACTGACGCATTTACACTGTCGTTTTTTTTCCCAGGACGATAGTGCGGTGGAATGGGTTGCCTTCTGATGTAGCAAAGGTTACTTCACATGAAGTATTTTCAAGATTACTTCAGGATCTAGAGTAGTGTACTCATGAGGATGTGTAGGGACGAGACGGTACTGTGAAGCGGCTTTGTATTGTCTTCTACCACGTGCCGCTATGTATAGTTGACAATGAATTGCGTTGTTATTGTGTTGTATGTATGTGAGTATCCGTATTCAGTGTTGACATTTTGTATTCTTCCCTCCCCCCACTGTAATGCCTTTGGGCACTGTGGGTACTTTGATAAATAAATAAATAAATAAATAAATAAATAAATGAGTAAATATCACCACAAGCGTTTGCACTGGGCAGTCATATCAAGTTATCTTTGAAGTGACTAGTTATCGTGTATATGTAACATGGAGCTTAAACAAATATGCGTGCTTGTGAACGTAATAATATTAATTGGACCAATGCGTTTCTATTCAAGTTATGTCCACAGTACACTATTTCACAAGTTGCATACCTTCACTGCCATGCACTGAGATAATCAAAAATGCGTGTCGTGCAGTACTCCTTGCGAAGAAATGACGTAGTGTGCTATGCTTTCTTTAACAATGCGAGCACAAATTCATATTTCGCGCCCAGAAAACCACCATTTCTGGGGACGTATTCAGCTAAACAGAGGCGAGAGATAAAGAATTGGTAACATGATTTGTACGCTGCTAACTGAAAGTTGCCTTTATTTGCGCATCGCAACAAAGACTTAGTAATGCAGTAACTGCCAGCTAAGCGAAAAAATTGCGGAATCAGAGACTTAAGTTATTCTGTTTCTTTCTCATGCGGTGAAAGCACGTTCGAATAATGTAGGGAATGCGTGATTGCTAGTTCATTACAACGAAGGTACTGGTGAAATCTGCTCCTTAGGTCCTTCTTCAAACACACAGCAAGACAGGTGAGAACCCCTTTAGGCAACCAGCGTCAGCATTCTGCAGCATGCACTTCAAACCCACCATGACAAGAATGTTTGTGGATCACAGCTGATTGATAACGACCACACGCAGCCGCGGAGCACTCGATAAAACCGCAGCTGACTCACACTTATCTCGGAATGGAGTAATCTTGTTTCAAGGGGGTCGTCGCTATAATACGCAACAAACGCGCGCACAAAACTGTGCGAAGGTGCTGTGTACATTTTCGATAGTTTTATTTATTATAGTTCTCATTTTTTTTCTTACTACGCATTAATGATTTATCTGTTTTCGAGTCACTGAAACCTATAGTCGTTGTGCTTCTCCGTTACTTTTGTCACATTCCGTTGATACGGTGTTTGTCAAGACGGGTTATTGATTACTCAAACACATACTATTTATTGTAGCCACAATATTGTTTAATAAACTCTGCTGGTGTAGTCGGTGAGCCATAGTATTCATTTATTTACCAGTGCTTTTGTCTATGCTAGGCTGGTTAGAAAAGGTATGCTTACGCCATAGCATACGAAGTTGTCCTGTACTTTTTTTTTCTTGGCAACTTACCTCTCTGGCAGACGAGTACCGTAGAAACACATGTTTTATTGCTCAACCTACAGGTGTGTTTGCGAGCTGTGCAAGTTCGCGTAGTGCAGGTAACGTTCCCGAAAGTTGGGAAAGTGGCACGGCTCTGGCGGACTGGCGACGACGACACTGCACTTGCCTGCAGCGGATCCATTGTTCTTTTCGCGCGGTGCTCTCACGTGCCATAAGTGGTTGAAGATTACAGCGCATCCGGAGAAATCCGACTTGTATCACATAATCGCGGTGACCTCTGAAAAAAACACAACGTGCACAATGGCAGACGAAGTGTAGCCAAGCTTTTGCAGGGTGTTTGAAGCAGATTTTCGCGACTGCAAATAGCAAGGTATATTTCTTAGCAATCATTGAAAATTCCTTTGCCTAGAAAAACATTTTTTGGTCTGAATGCATCTTGCAACATCCCCTTCCCTGAAATAGAGGTGCTACATACTACCTGAAAAATTTTTCGCAGTTGTTACAGTTCAGGATATAAAATGCGAAGCATTTCTTAGCAAACTTCGGCTACTTTGAGCGTATCTATCTATCTATCTATCTATCTATCTATCTATCTATCTATCTATCTATCTATATATATATATATATATATATATATATATATATATATATATATATATATATATATATATATATATATATATATATATATCCGTCTATCAGTTTATCTCCCCGCAGGGGCGTCTGCGTAAGTAGGCATTCAGTGCGTAGCGACACCACGGACCCGAGCTAACGGGGTAGTTACGACACCCTCCCACACCTAGCCATGCATGGCTCTGCCGTGCCCGGGGAAAAGTGGTTCTGGGGGTTGAGCCGACAACAAGTTATTGGACCTTTAAGGCCCCCCAGCCGAGCAAACACACCCCTTTGGCTCCGGCTTCACCCCTGGGCTGACCCACGCAGGGGAAATTGGCAGTCGCCTCTTCCTGTCTCTCTCTTCTTACATCTTCGCCTTTTTCTCCTCTTTTAATCTGTCCTGTCTTGTTCTCTTTTCTGTTTACTTTATTGTTTTCTGGCGGCTAGGGTTAACCTTGTGTTGCTATCCTACCTAGGGTAAACCATATTCGGTTATAGCAATGGCGTACTGCTGGCGTAGGGCAGACTTTATCACATGATCGGCCACGTCGCCCTGTTGGGCTCCATGGTGGGTGGTAGGTGCCGCTGCCGACGAAGACATGTTTCATGGGACCTCATAACTCTCCTGTAACCAATCGTGTCCTGAAAAGGGTACGCACCAATCAATCCTCTTTGTTTTTCACCCAAAACATTGAAACTTTTCCAAGATACCGCGTGCTTCACTGTGAAGAAATATCAACTAAAGCCAGATTATTATCACCTTTTCTCGTGGCCAAGTGCTTAAAAGACACCATTTGGACTGGCTATAAGGCCACAAAGATGGCATGTGGGGATATTCTCCTCGAAATAAAAGACAAAGAACAGTACAACAAACTTTCACACCTCGTAGCATTTGGCAATACCCCTGCATCAGTTACTGCACATAGTACTTTGAACACTGTGAAGGGCGCAGTATCTGATCAAGACCTTACGTCACTAAGCGAAGAAAAACTCCTTGACGGATGGAAGGACCAAGGCATAACACATGTTCAGCGCATAAAAATCAGACGCAACACTGAAACCGCAACAAAGCACCTAACACTTACTTTCAATTCAAGCATTCTACCTTAGACACTCGAAACCGGCAATGTAAAACTTCGTGTGCGTCCGTACATGCCTAACCCGAGACGTTGCTTTAAATGCCAGCGATTTGGACACGGATCTCAGGCCTGCCGAGGTCAGCTTACTTGTGGTAAATGCGACATAACTGGTCACGGTACTGATGAGTGTGAATATGATGAGGTTCACTGTGCAAACTGCAAAGGCAGCCGTGCCGCATATGCCAGAGTGTGCCCAGCCTGGAAAAGAGAAAAAGAAATTATCATTATAAAAGTGGGCGAAAATATAACGTTCCGTGAAGCACGGCAGTGAGTCTCGCCCACTTTCACACTAAGAAATTCCTTCGCTGAAATGGTGCAACGAGGGGCGGCACCACAATGGCCCTTGGTGACTATCTGGACCACGCCTAGCGTGCTCAGGTCAAAGCCACCTGTCCCTCTGGTGGGAGCAGTCAGCGCTGCTCCGCCGACAGCCAACCAGTCCACACCGGTGGCCTCTACAAGCCCTGGCAGCAGCCAGAGAAATGAGAAAACCAAGGAGGCCCCAACAACCTCCGGCCCGGTGGGGGCAAAGACTTCGTGGACTGAGGCGAAGTCTAAGCGACACACAGATCGCTCTTTGGAGTGAGTGTCCAGTGGCTCACAGGAGACTATGGACACCACTTCTAGCGAAACGGCGCCGGTAGCACCAAGGGAGCGGCGACCTTTTGTCGACCGCTTCTAAAAAGACAAAACACCAGTAACAGAGCCTCACAAAGGCCCTGTAAAATGATATAATCTCAATCTTGTCTACACAGAGCACTTTTTTTTCAATTCCTAATGGATAAAGTCATACAGTGGAATGTTAGAGGGCTCCTCAGAAATCTAGATGATGTTCAAAAACTTCTCAGTAACTTCAACCCAAAAGTGCTGTGTGTGCAAGAAACACACCAAACTTCTAAATACAGCAACTTTCTCCACCAATACATTACTTTTCGGAAGGACCGTGAAGATTCTGCCGTATCATCCGACGGAGTAGCCATTATAGCTGATAGAATTGTGGCATGCCAGCAGATGAAGCTCCGGACACCTCTTGAGGCAGTGGCCATTCGAGCTGTACTTTTTAACCAACTCGTCACTTTATGTTCTCTGTATATACCACCTTACCATCAGCTTAGAAGGCACGACTTAGAATCATTAGTAGATGAACTCCCAGAACCTTTTTTTTTTATTTTAGGTGACTTTAACGCACACAATGCTCTGTGGGGCGATTCTCGCTGTGCGCTCGAGGACGTCTAATTGAACAGCTTGTTTATTCTTCTAGGCTATGTATCTTAAATGCAAAGGAGCCTATGTATTTTAGCCTCGCAAACAATTCATGCTCCTTGATAGATCTTAGCATTTCATCACCATCACTTTTAGCTGATTTTAAATGGAATTTTCTTAAGAACCCTTATGGGGGTGACCAGTTCCTGATCATTCTGAGCGTCCCAAACAAAGGCCAAGTATCTTCGCAGGTTCCGAGGTGGAAGCTTGACTCAGCTGATTGGTAACAGTAACAAACTCTTACCCACATGACATGGACTGAGTTGTCTGCTCTGACCATAGATGACGCTGTCGCATATTTCACAGCTTTTATTCTTGATGCCGCATCTAAGTACATTATACAAACGAGTGGATTGAGTACTAAATGGCATGTCCCTTGGTGAAATGATGCCTGTAGGAAAGCTCGGACGAATCAGAACAAAGCGTGGGCATTGCTCCATGATTTTCCAACAGTAAAAAACCTGGAAAATTTTAAGCAGGTCAAATCGCAGGCAAGGAGAACGCGCACACAAGCCAGACGAGAGAGCTGGACAAGGTTCATTACGAGCATAAACTCGTACACAGATGAAAAAAAAAAGTGTGGAACAAAGTCCCGAAAATTGATGGCCAACAAACATATTCTCTCCTATTAGTAAATACCCTCGGAGAAAGCTTGGAAGACCAAGCCAACTTTCTTGATGCACATTTTGAAAATATATCGAGCTCCTCAGACTACTCTGACGCATTCCAAAAATACAAAGCACAGTAGGAAAAACAAAATCTAGAAAGATAATCTAAAAAAATCGAGGCTTATAATGAGCCCTTCCGCTCAACAGAATTGCAAAGAGCACTGAACTGTTGCAACACATCTTGTCCAGGTCCTGACACCATAATGTATGAGATGCTGAAGCAACTACCTTCCAAAACACAAAAAACTCTCCTTTCCCCTTACAATCTTATCTGGTTTTATGGTGTGATCCCCTCTACTTGGAAGGAAGCTGTGATAATTCCGATTTTGAAGCAGGGTAAGGATCCGTCGTCTGCATCAAATTACAGGCCTATAGCATTAACCAGTTGCATCTGTAAAGTTTTTGAAAAAAATGAATAATTGCCGCCTACTCCACTTCCTAGAATCAAACAAACTGCTAGACCCAAACCAATGCGGATTTAGAGAAGGCCGATCCACCACTGATAATCTCGTACGGATTGAGACACGCATACGTGAAGCCTTTGTCTATAACCAGCTTTTTATATCTGTATTCCTCGACATGGAAAAGGCCTATGATACAACGTGGAGGTTTGGGATATTGAGAGACCTCTCGCATATGGGTGTACGTGGTAATATGTTCAATATCATCGAAAGTTATCTGTCTGATCGCACATTCCGAGTTCGAATGGGCAATGTCTTGTCCCGAACATTTGTACAGGAAACCGGAGTACCACGGGGTGGGGTACTAAGCTGTACGCTCTTTATTATAAAAATGAACTCTCTCCGTCAGTACATCCCCCATAACATATTATACTCCACATATGTTCATGACATCCAGATAGCTTTTCAATCGTGTTCCCTCGGCATCTGTTAGCGACAGGTCCAGCTTTCTATAAACAAAGTGTCCAAATGGGCTAATGAAAGTGGGTTCAAAGCCAACCCACAAAAAAGCAAATGTGTCCTGTTCACACAAAAAAGAGGCTTACACCCTGATCCTCAGATTGTCATCAAAGGTGAACCTCTGCCTGTAAGCACAGAACATAAGTTTCTAGGTATAATCTTGGATGAAAAACTAACAATCGTATCACACATCAAATACCTTAAAAATAAATGCATGAAAACAATGAATATCCTTAAGTTACTGTCGCACACATCCTGGGGCAGCGACAGAAAGTGCCTCATGAATCTGCACAGAAGCCTGGTACGTTGAAGTCTTGAGTATGGGGCAATAGTATATCATTCAGCCTCGCCAAGCACATTAAAGATTCTGGATCCTGTACATCAACTGGGCATCCGCCTCTCTACAGGTGCTTATCGAACGAGCCCTGTAGAAAGCCTTTACACTGAGTCGAATGAGTGGTCACTCTCCCTGCAGAAGTCCTACATGTTTTTTTCTATTATCTGAAAGTGAACGGTGATAAGGAACACCCTATGCATTCCATAAATAATGATCTGTCTATTTGTGCACTTTTTGGAAACCGGCCCTCGATGAGGCAGCCTTACTCACTTCGCGTGAGGAGCCTAGCCGAGATAACAGGTGTGCCGCTTTTTGAACAGTGTCTCATGGCTCCTGCTGCACACCTACCGCCGTTGCAGTGGCAGGTGATAGAATGTGATGTATCCTTCGCCGAAGTGACGAAGCGCGCACCTATTGCACATATACACACATACTTCATGGAACTTGGACACAAATGCGCTTGCCCTGAATTTTTTACAGATGCCTCCAAGTCTCTCACTTCTGTGTCCTATGCAGCAGTAGGGCCATTCTTTTCAGCTTCCGGTATTCTGCATCCACAAACAAGCATTTTCACCGCAGAAGCTCATGCGCCATCTGTTGCTGCCAACCATATTAAGGAATTGAAACTAGAATGCGCGGTTATATACACGGACCCTCTGAGTGTTGTCACAGCTTTGAAAACAATCAAAAAACATAAAAATCCTCTGCTTGTATCGCTTTACTTGCTTTTATATGCGATCTACGCACTCAAACGTCATGATGTGCTGCGATAGGTGCCAGGGCACCGCGAGATTGCTGTAAACGTGGCCGCGGACCAGCTCTCTGTATCCGCGCACGACAACGCTGCCACTAACCCATCTTTGACTGTCCATGCACTTGACATAAAGCACTTCCTAAAACAAAGCCTCAGAGCATATTGGCAGCGCCTATGGGACAGGTAGATTGAAAATGAAGAAAATGAACTACATATTATCAAACCCAAACTTGAAAATTGGCCACCGTTACCTAAATCACGCTACGGACAAGCAACACTTACCAGGCTACAAATAGGGCACACACACAGCACTTATTCATATCTCCTGTCTGGTGGTGAACAACCTAGCTGTGACAAATGTGGTGAACCACTTACAGTTCTCCACATCCTTGTCCAGTGCAGTGCGTTGGATGGTATCAGGAAAAAAACAATTTATACGGCCCTATCGACAGCGGCTTCCACTGCACCCTTTTATGTTTATTGGTATGGATGCCATGTTTAAACAAAAATTATTGATGGCATTTTTAAAAGAAATACATGGTTTTAAAACTATATTTCGAGGTGACCCGTAGCACGGCCCCCGTCCGGAGGTTGCTGTTACGGTAGCCGCAAAGACAGCACCCTGCCTTGCGGCTCTTGTGTTCAAGGGCACTGATGAGGCAAATGTGCTAAATTACATGTCAGTCCTAAAGTTTTTTTTAATTCTTTTACTATGAGTATTGTCATTAGTCTATAGCTAATCATTTGACCTCACTCACATTGTTTTAATATATTATGTTTTATCCGCCTTAAGGCGAGCAATTTTAGGCCCTTATACAGCCCTGCAGCATCATCTTAATCATTGTTACATTCCTAATCATTGCCACTCCTCCATCTTTTCCATGGTGCTCTTTGGCCAAGACATGGCCCTTGCGCCACTAAAACCTACATATCATCTATCTATCTATCTATCTATCTATCTATCTATCTATCTATCTATCTATCTATCTATCTATCTATCTATCTATCTATCTATCTATCTATCTATCTATCTATCTATCTATCTATCTATCTATCTATCTAGCTAGCTAGCTAGCTAGCTAGCTAGCTAGCTATAGCTAGCCGCTTACGTTTGGGTGCTTTCGTGGTCACCCCCTTAACTTGGTGTGAACCAAAATCACCATAGGAGGGTAGGATGGTTTGACGTATATGACATGCTGGTAAAGACATGAATAATGTCACAATCCCGTTGCATACATATTCAATCACTTCCCACCAGACAGTGGCACATACCCAGAGGTGGGTACTGGCACGCAGCCTAATTGAAGTTGGCGCTTGGAATAAATATGTTCGCGCTTGGATTAAATGCTTTGCAAGTGAAATAGATAGGTTGGTGCTCAGATTATTTCATTTGCATGCGGATTATTTAAGCTGGCACTTAGAATAAAGTGAGAGGGAAAACCTTAGTCGCCCAAATATCTTAAAATGCTGCCATAATAGCGGAGATACACGCGTTGCATGATGAAAATGAGGCCCTCGCTCGTCTCTTTCGATCCTTCACCATGTTCCGTTTATCTGCTCATTTCTGCTCCTGCAGGGAGGACCCCAAGATCACGTTAAAGTGCTACGTGAGAGCTAACCCTAGAGGTCACCGAAAGAACCGAAAAGAAGAAGGCACTGTTTCTTAGAAGTTGCGGTGTGCCCACGGATCATAGCGCTTCCACGTTTGGCATTGTTGGTCGCTACGGTTTTCTGAAGTTGATGCATGCACCTACCTAAAGTGTCCAGTTATCAGAGGTGATTTAGTGTTTTAACACTGTTGTTCTTTTCACTCGCAGCCAAGAATGACAACGCAAACGTTGGCGTGCGCTACATTTTCGAGAGCGTGCTGGATGAACTCGAGAAAGACCCTAGCAGGCGGTTCATCTTTGTGGAGACGGGTTTCTTCAACCTCTGGTGGAGGAGGCTCAGCGACGCCAAGAAGAAGCGATTCGACGCACTTGTTCAGTCCGGTAAGGATTTTGCGCGTTTACATAGCCTGTGCAACTGACACATCCGCGATAATCGTGCTTCAAGACTTCTGCGGCATTTTTAGTGGCGAAGCTCCTTAAAGAGACACTGAAATAATTTTTTGTAACGTAAACGAGTTTATGGTGTCACAATACGTAATTTCGTGCGGCGAACTCAAAAATCAAGTCGAAAATTTGCGTAAACCAACACAAATAACTTCATTTTGCCGAAAACAAGCAACAGGCGCCACGGCTGCCATCGTAAGTCTCGCCGCCGCTGTGACGCGTCAAAGCTCCATAACGTCACTGTCAGGAAGGTGAAGACAGCAGACTGCGCTCACCGGCAGTCAATGCCGTGTTTATCTCTTGAGGCGCTACACCGTGCTCTCTATCATGCTGCAAACATTGGGCGCCCTTTACCTCTTCTAACCGCCGCCACCACCACCACCACCACCACCACCACCACCAATATCTGTTGAAATCAGGTAGTTGCTGTAAGTACGGCGAACTGTGAAGGTCGATTCGATTGATTGATATGTGGGGTTTAACGTCCCAACACAACAATATGATTATGAGAGACGCCGTAGTGGAGGGCTCCGAAATTGTCGACCACCTGGGGTTCTTTAACGTGCACCCAAATCTGAGCACACGGGCCTACAACATTTCTGCCTCCATCGAAAATGCAGCTGCCGCAGCTGGCATTCGATTCGCGACCTGCAGGTCAGCAGCCGAGTACAGTAGCAACTAGACCACCGTGGCGGAATGGAAAGTCGGACCGAGTTCGCTGTAGATCCGTACATGTTCGAGCCGGTCACAGCTTTAAGGGCGCCGATTGAAGCGGCACAAAAGAAAAGCGAGTTCCAACTATCCACAGTCAACCACGTCAGAAACAGACTGGCACGTATAAAGATGCATGCCAGTGCTTAATTTCATTGTAGTAAACTGTTACAAATGATACCCCTATCAGTGGATACAAATTTGATAACAAACAGCACCATGGGCACTCGCTTTTAGCTGCATATTGGCACGATCTGTGCTGGGCGCATGCAGCGTGCAGAAACATCAGCTTTTTGTGAATTTCACAGCTCAGAGTGCAGCGTTGTTAAGGCAGTCAGCATCGTACGAGTGCCTCTCTTGCCCCAGTGGTGATATGTGCTCTAAACAGCGCTCGAAAATGCACTAGAATAGCTTGGCTGATATATTGCAGTTTTTTTTTAACGCGAAGCACATCTTAGCAAACTTCGGCGACTTTGAGCGTATCTATCTATCTATCTATCTATCTATCTATCTATCTATCTATCTATCTATCTATCTATCTATCTATCTATCTATCTATCTATCTATCTATCTATCTATCTATCTATCTATCTACTCTATCCATCTATTTATCTATCTATCTATCTATCTATCTATCTATCTATCTATCTATCTAACAACTATCTATCAATCAATCAATCTATCTATCTATCTATCTATCTATCCATCTATCTATCTAGGCGCTTAGGACTCCTGGCCGTTTCGGAAATGGTATCGATACCAAACTTGGTATGGCATAACACGACTATATGAAAAACATACCTGACTAGTCAAACATGAAAATCATGACATGTATATCATGAATATCATGATTTATTTTTATGGTCCTGCAGCTCTTGCGGTGGTTTCGTTCACATGGAATGTTGAAAAACTTGCATGGTCTGGTATAATTGCATGGTGAACACAAGCGACAGACCCTAACACGAAAATCATGACATGCGTGTCATGTAACAACATGACTACATGCACCGCTCATGATGTGCTCGCGGCCATTTCGCTAGCTTCACTTATACCAAATTTGGTATTACAATACGTGAATGGGGGATGAAAGTATGTGAATGGTGCAAACATGATAATCATGAAATGCGTGTCATGTAACAGCATGACTACATGCCACGCTCATGATGCGCTGGCGGTCGTTTTGCTAGCTTCACTTATACCAAATTTTATTGATTCCAAGGCCGAGAGCGCCTTGGAAATCAAGGCGCTCTCGGCTTTGAATGTGGCATGTAGCCATGTTCTCACATGACACGAATCTCATGAATATTATGTTTCCACCAGTCACATGTATAGCTTGGTCATCCATTGTCATCACGTAATACCAAATTTGGCATATGTGAAGCTAACGAAACGGCCGAAAGCGCACCATCAGTGTGACATGTATCCTTGCTGTTACATGACACGCATGTCGTGATTATTTTGTTCGAATGTGTGATTTACCTATGTAGTCACGTAATACCTAGTTGGCGTCACGTAATACCTAGTTTGATACACCTGAAGCAAGCGATACAGCCACGAGCGCATCATGAGCGTAGCATTTATTCATGTTGTTACATGGCATGCATCTCATGTTTGTTATGTGTACACCAGTATCAAAGCTTCGTCATCCATTCACGTCTGGTAATACCAAATTTGGTATAGAAGAAACTAGCGAAATGGCCGCCAGGGCATCAAGAGCGTCGCATGTAGTCATGTTGTTACATGACACACATGTCATGATTACCATGTTGGCACTAGTCACATACCTTCGTCATTCCTTCACGTACTGTAACACCGAATTTGGTATATGTGACGCTAGCGAAATGGCCGCGAGTGCATCATGAGCGTGGCATGTGCGGCATAAGTGCGGCATGTAGTCATGTCGTTACATGACACGCATGTCATGATTTTCATGTTATGGTCCTTTGCTTGTGTTCGACATGCAATTATGCCATGCCGTTCCAGTTTTGCAATAGGCCATGTGAGCGAAACCACCGCAAAAGGTGCAGGACCGTGAAACGTAAATCATCACATTTATGACATACATACCATGATTTTCATGTTACGACTAATCGAATATGTTCTTCAAACAGTCATGTTATGCCATTTCAGGCTTGGTATTGACATTGTCATCGAAACGGCCAGGAGAGCTAAAAGACGTAGGCGGCTAGATATATATGTAGATAGATACACTCAAAGTCGCCGAAGTTCGCTAATAAATGCTTCCCATTTAAAAGTCATAGGTGGCTAGATAGATAGATAGATAGATAGATAGATAGATAGATAGATAGATAGATAGATAGATAGATAGATAGATAGATAGATAGATAGATAGATAGATAGATAGATAGATAGATAGATACGGTCTAAGTCGCCGAAGTTCGCTAAGAAATGCTTCGCATTTAACAGTCATAGGTGGCTAGATAGATAGATAGATAGATAGATAGATAGATAGATAGATAGATAGATAGATAGATAGATAGATAGATAGATAGATAGATAGATAGACAGACACACAGACGGATAGATAGATAGATAGATAGATAGATAGATAGATAGATAGATAGATAGATAGATAGATAGATAGATAGATAGATAGATAGATAGATAGATAGATAGATAGATAGATAGACAGACAGACAGACAGACAGACAGATAGATAGATAGATAGATAGATAGATAGATAGATAGATAGATAGATAGATAGATAGATAGATAGATAGATAGATAGATAGACAGACAGACACACAGACAGACAGACAGATAGACAGATAGATAGATAGATAGATAGATAGATAGATAGATAGATAGATAGATAGATAGATAGATAGATAGATAGATAGATTGACAGACAGACAGACAGACAGACATACAGACAGACAGACAGACAGACAGACAGACAGATAGATAGATAGATAGATAGATAGATAGATAGATAGATAGATAGATAGATAGATAGATTGACAGACAAACAGACAGACATATAGATAGATAGATAGATAGATAGATAGATAGATAGATAGATAGATAGATAGATAGATAGATAGATAGATAGACAGACAGACAGACAGACAGACAGACAGACAGACAGATAGATAGATAGATAGATAGATAGATAGATAGATAGATAGATAGATAGATAGATAGATAGATAGATAGATAGATAGATAGATAGATAGATAGATAGATAGATACGGTCTAATTCGCCGAAGTTCGCTAAGAAATGCTTCGCATATATGAAAAAAAAGCCGTCCGCATCTTTCCTCAGGGGAACGCAAGTAAATGCGTTGTAAAGGGGGGGGGGAGGGAGGGTATCGCGTGAATGTTGCGTAATCGGGTGTGGTTTGGTAATGCTCAATTGTTATTTCGTCTTTATTATTCTTATCTATTCAATGAAGAAGAAGCGTTGCCTTCAACGAGTAGTGGGGACGCCGATGTGCGATCCAGTGCGTACACGTATACGGGGTGGCCAGTGAAAGGTTGTGCAGCTCGAGCAGTTGCTTTTTACTAGCAGACGCTGCCTGCGTCGGCCTTGCGACGCGAGAGAGGGGAGGGGGAGTCAACAGTAGGCACGAGACGCGAGGCACGAGCAATAGCAGTGCGGGTAAGGACATCACCGCCGACGCACTGCGCGTGACGTCTTGCGACTAAGAAATGCTCTGCATTTAAATTTCTTGACTTGTGTTTAGAAAATGGAGGTAATAATTTAGAGTACGAGGTACTCTACTATGAGAGAGCATAAAGCCGTCCCGTGAGCCTCACACTGGATGAAGCCCTGTAACAAAGATGAACCGACAATTTCAGCCATATATTTCAAGCGCTCAGTGACTGACAGAAAGTTGAAAACCACGACTTTATTGGAGGCTACAGGGATGGCCGTACAATTGACGCAACTCACAATATTTAACAGTGCGGCATAATTTCACAAGAATTTTAATTTCTGAAAACTCATGCAGTGTTTATGTAGCTTCTGTGTAGAGCTATGTCACCTTTAGACATACGCCCAAGCAGTACTGAGATTAAAAGCCGTTCAAGCAACTTATCACATATCATTTCCGTCTTTCAGATCCATGCTCAGATTTAAACTGATAGGAAAGCTTATTTTAGGCACAAGTTTAAGTGCACTTTCCTTAAACGTTCCACCAAGGTGAATGATGGTGTGAGAAAAAAATTAACGCTGGAGTGTTTCACCTTTGCTGAATATTGGGGAGAGATGGGGTGAGAGTTTTGGTTGTCTGGCTAGTTACTTTATTTTTAATCCCTAATGAAGAAAAGAGCACACTTACAGTTTGACTAGATTTTCTTGTGTAATGTGCTGCTTCTTAAAAGGGCAAGAAAAATGACTCACTAGTTGGCAATGCGAATATAACTTGAGGTGCTTAGAGAACAAAAAGGAAAAACGGGAGATTAACTAAAGCTTTAAGAGAGTTGGCTGCTTTTTTTCCTTATCAGAAAACCTAGGTGCAACAATTGAAAGCTGCAAAAGACAGTAAAGATGCTGTAAATGCAGCTGTATTTGCATAGACAAATGTTCCCCAATGCTTCCAATGCAGTCAAAGGCGTGTTTTTTTTTTTTTTTTCGTTTACAGGAAAGGTTTTCTTGGCCTCAGCGAGCATGAGTTCTCACTATCGTCTCTTCCGTAGTTCTGAATAGCCTTTTTTTTTTCGTTTGTTTCCAAAATTTGCTGAACAGGGATGGATATTTGTCACAGCAGGAACAGGGCGCATAAATAAGTCTTTGGTTTGGTAATCACATTTACATGGCCTGCTTGAATAAACTCAATTGAACGGCTTTATTGAGCATGCAGAACTCGAGCCCTACCACGGTGGTCTAGTGGCTAAGGTACTTGGCTGCTGACCCGCAGGTCGCGTGATCGAATCCCGGCTGTGGCGGCTGCATTTCCGATGGAGGCGGAAATGTTGTAGGCCCGTGTGCTCAGATTTGGGTGCACGTTAATGAACCCCAGGTGGTCAAAATTTTTGGAGTCCTCCACTACGGCGTCTCTCATAATCATATGGTGGTTTTGGGACGTTAAACCCCACAAATCAATCAATAAATGCAGAACTCGAGTGCTATGTGACCCAGTTCTACATAAACGTACCGCATGTCTCACGTCACGCAGGTCAAATGGAGTTCATCAGTGGTGGCTGGGTAATGAACGACGAGGCCTGTGTCTTCTACACCAACACAATCGACCAGATGACCTACGGTATACGCAAACTGAAGGACATCTTCGGCAAGTGCGGCGTGCCTAGGATAGGATGGCAGATTGATCCATTCGGCCACTCCAGGGAATACGCCTCCCTGCTGGCGCAGGTAAGAGAGACGGCAAGATTTAGTCACCCTGTACGTATGACTGGTGGAAATTCTCTGAAAGAACCAGAAACGCACAGGAAGGTGGAATTGTCAATGGATTAAAAACTCTTGCACATGAGGTGCTGTTACACACAAATGTTGGAAAAGTAAACTCCATTTTTGTTGTGTTCAAGGAGAAAACAGGACCGCTTGTCAAAACGATGGCTCCCAAGACACTCCAAGTGCGAGAATTTTTCTTATAGTGGAATTAGGTTCAGTTTAACATTGTTTTCAACAGAAATGACATTTCATGTGCTCGAATAGCTAATTTATATCAGGTGTGCTTGTTTCGTGGCAGGATGTTCTCTTTCTCAATTGGTCTCCCGCTCTTTTTTTTTTTCTTTTAAGCGCCTGGCTTTCACCGCCGTTCGCGGCAGCGTTACCGACAGTCCGCTCGAGGAAGAAAAAGAGCGAGCACAAAGTTTGTCAATGTGATGATCCGATGGCCTCTAACCTCGCTGTTTTCCGTCAGGCACGCTGGTCCCTCAGTCGGAGCTCGTTCGCATGCAGCACTCGCAAGTGCACTGCCGCTAGCTTCGGTTGTCGTAACGGGGCTGTCGACGTTTCGATTGCTTCGCAACGCGCAAGATGCACAGAGTGGCGTGCGCAGTACTCGGGTGCCACGTGGCAGTTTCTGTGGCAGTATGTAATGAAAGTTGCATTGCTGCAACTGGGAATATTCAAAGCATTTGAACGTAGTTCGCGTTGCCCCAAGACGAATTCACTCAGAATTCAGACGCTGCGCTCAAATTCGCATTTCAGAGTAACGTAAATGTCAGTGAAGTTTTCAATTGATAGGGAACCTTTGTTCCTTATTTCTACCATTATGAAATCCTTTTCTCTCGATGTGCTAGTCCAGCACACGTTGCGAATGCCAGTACAATAAAATCACTTACATGGCGGTAAACGAAGATTTCATTGCGGTCAACATTCGCCCCCCTGGCGTTAAGGTGCGTGGGCCTTATCGATTCAGCTGGCCCCCGAACACCGACGCCATGCGGGACTACTATCTAACACCTTTCAGTCACAAATTATGATGTGCTGTCAGAAACGTGTCATATCGTGTGGCACAATTCCCAGCAACTCAGTATTACAACCCAAGTTAGTAAATGAACGAAAGCGTTGTTCTGTGTGAGTTTTGGCAGTTAAAGTTAACGAGTGTGTCATTCATTATCTAATTATTCTGCCACCAGTCAGCTTTAGCACTTGCATAAAAAGCATCCGCTATTAGACCCGATATACATGCACAGTTTGTTGTTTGCTTGTGTTTTGTTTCAAGCGACGAAAAAAATACTTTTCACGTTGGTCTTAAAATGCGTCACGTCGAACAATCGTCGAACATGGTAGTGCACATTCAGCAAAATGATCCTCTGCAGCAATACGCAACATAGTATAGTTAGATAATTGCTAGCTGCCCACTCAGGAGGCTTGTACGAGTGTGCACACTAAGTTTCAGGCCAATTGATGGAACACGTGGTGCGTGATGTGCCATGAAATTTGGTGTCCTTATTTGTACACACCGTGGCTGAAGGGACTACTCCCACCATCTTCTTAAAGCTACCACGTTACCGCTTCCGACAATGTCGGAAACTATAAATTCCACTTTTCTGGGCTGCAGCTGCTACGGATTCATCCCGCTTGATGAGGACGAAATAAGTCGGCTTCATGTTTATAGTCCTCTCAATATGAGAGCTCGGATGGTCATTTTTATGTTTGTTAGCTGGCGCTGAAACCACCTCCTTTCCGTAGGAAGGATTTTTAAGGGAGGAACTCCTTGGGTCATAGACCGTTCCTTCCTCTGTAGTAGTAGTAGTAGTAGTAGTAGTAGTAGTAGTAGTAGTAGTAGTAGTAGTAGTAGTAGTAGTAGTAGTAGTAGTAGTAGTAGTAGCAGTAGCAGTAGTATTAGCAGTAGCAGTAGCAGTAGTAGTAGTAGTAGTAGCAGCAGCAGCAGCAGCAGCAGCAGCAGCAGCAGCAGCAGCAGCAGCAGCAGCGGCAGCGGCAGCAGCAGCAGCAGCAGCAGCAGCAGCAGTAGTAGTAGTAGTAGTAGTAGTAGTAGTATGTAGCCACCTCTAGTTTGAGTTTTTTAATAAACGGCGTTGTGTGTATATGTCTCTGGAAAAGTACAACTAGATGGCGTTAGTGGCTTTCACAGGATATCCACGGAGTGAATGATGATGAGTTGGGCGAAGCGTCCATCTGTCCGTCTGTCTGTCTATGTTACAAAAAACGTAACCTCGCGCGACAGCCTGTCCTGCGGCATGTTCCGACGTAAAGTGTACAAACATCTAGTCATGTGACATATTTCTGTGTGCTGCTCTGGAAAAAGCAACTTATTCGTGAGCTGCATGCGCCACTTTTTTATGTGTGAACAGATGGGAATGGACGGATACTTCTTCGGACGAGTCGACTACCAAGATTTCCGAGCGCGCAAGAAGGAACAGCAGCTAGAATTCATTTGGAGCGGCAGCGCTAACCTTGGTAAGAAATTGTGGCATGCAATGTGAGATGCAGCTAAATAAATGAGCTATGAAACACAATAGCAATTGTAGTGTTTTCGTTTTTATTACTGTAAAGAAACTAAAATAAAAGCGAACCAATTAATCATTGCCGAATGGGCGGACTAATAATAGAAATAAATTGAAAGAAGCTGGGGGGTTTAGACATGCTTTTCATCAATATGTGTTTGCCACTCAGAAATTGCGTAGGTCACCTGCAGTGTGAATGTATACATAAAGAGCTTCTGCGGTCTCATGTGAAAATGTGCGCAAGCGAAGTAGGCATAGAGAAATGTACTATATAAAGAGCGGCCACTCGAGCCTTTTCGCCGCCCAGAAAGAAAGAGTGTGATCAACCACTATATTCTGTTTCATACATCGGATGCCACGCTGTGAAAGCTACTCAAGTAGTTCGGCCAGCAAAACGTACAACTCCGCACGATTCTTCATCGCTCGCGTGAGATCCGTTTAGTGCCGGTCCACCCTCGCGTTTCTTTCTGCTCCACTTTGGCACGACTGGCGTACAGAATAAAGAGGGGTAAACACAAAAGTACGCGGCTACCGAATGACCCTGCGGTGCCCTGCGGTGTCCTGCGATGTCCTGCACTGACACTGAAATTTCAGGTGGCCGCCATCCCGACGTACCCACAGTAGAGAGCCTGTATGTGACGTCACGGGGAAACTAAGAAAGAAAGCCACATATTAACAGACGTTCAATGGCGTTTTGTTTGTAAGGCACATCATTTATTCATTAATTTTAGCTCCAAGAACGAAAGAAAAATTGAATTTTGGGTGGTAAGAACATCGAAGTACTCTTTGTTGCGAATGCATCGACAGCAAGAGGGCTCGCTAGCTTCCACAGCGTTGTATTTAGAAAAAGTGGTTAATGATTTAAAGTACTAGTTAAACTATGGGAGAGAATAAAGCAGCCCAGGTGGCCTTAAAACCCAAGAAAACTTGAAAAATGAAACGGAGTATAGATGGCGTTCTCGTTCTCGCTTCTCATTTGTAAAGACATATAATATCCGCTGCAGGAGGACAATAACAACCCAAGTTTGACATCTAATTTTTGCAAACAAGAAATTTTATTGACTTGTGCGTTATTCAGTATCCACTCTACATCGTGTCCCACTGAGGATGTTCAATTAATCATGACAAAGAGTTGTAAAGTCTGTCTAGAAAGTGGTGTCTTTCTGCATTTGTTTTGCACAAAGGGAACGCATTCATGTGGTTTAGATGTGCTGTACAAGTATTTCCCTTGTGGAAGCCTAATGGTAAAGACACTAGCTTACTGAGCGTGAGGATATGGGTTGAAATCTCAGCATTCGAAAGAAAAATTTTCGTTATTTTATTTGCGCTCAAGACATTATCCGGTCTGACTAGCCACTCGTGGTGCTTACAGCAGCTCAGTAGCTCGGCCACTGGGCCGTACAGGAGTGTCCGCTCTTTACGTAAGTGTGTTTCTATATGAAGTAGGTGTGAATACTTTCTAGTTACAGTACCAATTTGTGCTGTCGTGACACTTCTTATTTATTGTGTGCAGGAAAGGATGCTCAAATATTCACGGGCATTCTTCCAAATGTATACAGCCCGCCGAGGGGATTCTGCTTCGACATCTACTGCTCGGACGATGCTTTAGTGGCAAGTACTTGCGCTGTTTTTCTGTTATTTGCTAGTGTGAGAGCGCTTCGGAATTACTCCCCCTTTTAAAATATATTTTTTTTTGCATTGCCGTAATAGATTTGGCGCCTGAGAGGTGTCCTTACATAAAGGATAGAACATATTTTCGGAAACGACCTTGAGTATTGCTACACGTAAATATTTATGGTTTCTGTAAAATCTCGCGAAAGAAAAGAATCCATATGAATATTGTTTTCAGTTGGGTTCGAATAAAGCGAGTGCCGTGAAAAAACATAACGGTAATTCTTGTAACGCCACTCACCGTATGAATGCCCATTTAAAGTGCGCAATTCACCAGAAAGGCTGTTTCCATCAAAACGGTGATGGCGTGTTCCCTGCATTTCATTCCGGGTGTTTTGAAAAACGAGCGAAAAGTGCTTGGGACGAAACGTTAAAAGTGAATAATCACAACCACAGTACAGCTATGAAGCACGTGGTAGCAAAGGATGACTGTTTGATTCGGACCACCTGCGCTCGATAGAAAGGCACATAACGATACCAACAAAACGCCAAGCTAAATCTTTTTCTTCACTAAAATTATACCTTGGTATTACGTCACAAGTAACCTTCAAAATCACGTGACTGTCCCGGTGTCAGGCGATCGAAAGTTCCTGTTGCACTCTTAGTACTTTGAAAGCTGGCTGCAGAACATGCGGCAAAGAATGCTAAACGAAAGCAGCCACAACAAGTCACTTTCAACGTAAAACGATCATCGCGTGACGGACTACGGCTTGCGTTGTGGGCCCCTGCTTTCACGCAGCACTTATTGAGTGAAGAGTTCAGTAAAATGTGTACATTCGCATGAATATTTTTGTTCATTTTGCTTGATACTTCTTGTCTTACAGGATGACCCAGATAGCGACGAGTACAACATCAAGAGTAGAGTTGACGACTTCCTTATCTACGTGAACGAAACGGTACGTGTACCATGCTTTGACGTTTTGAGAATCAAAGCTACAGCATTCTAATTTTTCTACAGCTCTTTCTCGCAAGTCCCTGAGCTCTCGCGCTATATGCGCGTATCGTGGCTCCACACTTCTCAAACTGCACTGGACGGGTCTCTGGAATGGGCTTTAGAGCGCTAGGTCAAACAGATATAGTTTATTTCTCTACACTAGTTTTCACGGTGGCAAGCGTTGTAACCTTAAAACTTTGCAGTCACCTCATTTACTTGCGCCTAACGTTGAAACTCAAAGCACGTTTGCAAGTTAATTTCAAGAGTAAGGAGAATCCCTTTTTCGTTTTTGACATAAAAGGAATGTGCGTAATGAACAAAGGAGTGATATGTAATTTATATGTAGCTAAAAAATAAAGGAAGAAACTGTAGAAAATCAGCGGGATATTATCTAAAGCCCTTCTTATCCGCCGATGCAATAAGGCCCATCGGTAGACAAAACCGAGTGTCATCAAGGGCCTGTATTTGTAAACGGTGAAAGGTGCTTAAGTGCACTAAATGCTGTGAAATAACTTATCTGTGTTAGTCTATACCAATTGCATCTCTGTGTTCTTTAAAATTACCTGTTGCAGGCAGCCATCTACAAGTCGAACAATATCCCAGTTACCATGGGAAATGACTTCAATTACCAGAGTGCCGGCCACTGGTTCACCAACTTGGACAAGCTGATTCATTATGCGAACCTGCGGGTAAGAATGATTCTTTGGCGCACTGACAGTGCTGTTATAAAGGAACTTTTAAGGTTTTAAGAAAAAAAGTCACCGCTTTGCCGCAAACGCGAAGCAATGAATGCGATAGCAACAAATTTGAAGGTCACGCGAAGAGTGGCACAGAAATCTAAAGGTGCCCCTCGTTGCTCACGCCTAAATGACGCATGAAACGTACTCACAGGTGCAGATGAACGTGAATAAGCGTCCCAGATGTTATTTCGCTGTCTGAAAAGTCCGCGCTTTACGCAAACGGAGACTTCAACGAGTGCAGTGACCATTGTGCGCCCGGTAAATACAACAGAATCGTTTCGGTGAAAACCCAAGGCGTACGATTGTCCCCACCACGAGACAAGCGAGCACACGCAAGAGCGTCCCCTCTCCGCGGGGCAAAGTACGCGGGGGAAGTCAGAGTACACGCCGCGGCGTCGTGACAGTCTGATGACGCGCGCTCATTGCGCATTCTTGCTGGTAATGCTGAAAACACGATAGTAGTCTCCCCCCCCCCCTCTCCTCCCGAGACGCTCATCTCCAGCGGTAAGTAGTAGGTATAAATAGCTTGCCGTTTGAACGTTCAAAAGATGCTCCAGCGAGGCTCAGTGGCTGACGCCGCACGCTCACAATTCAGAGGTCGAAGATTCAATTCCGTGCACCGAGTTCTTTTTCTGGATTATTTTTTTCTTGCGTTTCGTACATATGGATACCTATACATATACGGCGAATGACGGTGACGCCCAAGTTCACGCCGGCGGAGAAATCCAGCTGAGAGTGTCGATATATTTGCTATTGCAATAAAAATTCCGCCCAGGCACCCTGAACAGAATATTGATACAAGCCATCATTGCATCATAGAATGGGCCATAAAGGCGACGAAGATGACGATTGAACAGAAGCTCGTGTTGTTGTTGGCACTCCACCATCTTGGTTCAAGGACACTGTGTGCTCCGTGTAGAATCTGTTATTATATTTCTACCCTCTGCCTACTCTCACCCCGTGATATTTTGGTGGAGGTGCGGGGTCGCCTCCACTACACCGACTTCTCTTATAATCATATGGTGGTTTTGGGACGTTAAACCCCACATATCATCAATCAGACATACAGCATAAAGCTACGTATTCATTTCATTAAAGAGAACAAGCAAACAAGCACTGAAACCACATGTTCAATGATGAGGTGCCAGTGAACAATGGGAACATCCTCCGACGTTTTCCCGGCAAGGATCACCCGGCGGCTGTTTTGCACTTCACGCGAGGCTTTTGAATGACCTCCGATGGCCCTTCCTGATCCGCTCGCGTTTTCCGCGTTCATGTACAAGAAGGAGATTCGTATAGCCACATATTTAGTTCATTTTAGGACTGCTGTGGGTTGACCACAAAAATTAAAGACACTAGAAGAACGGCACATACTGCTTGGCGAATGGAACATGTTCCTCTTACTGAAAATGCTTTCTGAACCAACCATGTTCACAGCAACCGCAAAGTGGTTATCAGTAACTTTACTAAAAAGTAAAACATACCCCCTTCGTGTAGTGGGCGCTGTATTTGCTACAACTTTGCTAACTAGCCCCCATCCAAGCGTGGATTGGAACTATAATTTTCCTTGGTTACGTCTGTGCAAAGAACTCAATCGGCATTTGTCGGTCGTGTGCTCACTTCTTCCTGACTAGTGGTGTCGTGGAATCTACCCAATTTGTGTGACACGTTGGTGTGAGGAGTCTCTGTCTACGTAGGACAGATAAATTTTCGTTTTGCTTAGCCATATACAGCTCTGTTATTTTAAAAAAGTGTGGCTTAAACGGCATAACGGTGGCTTACGAACATGCATCGTGGCAGATCTTTGCGTGCGTTTGTTTCGTTCAGCACAGTGAAAGCAGGGACAATGCCTCGATACGACCTAGTCGTAGTTGCATGCTCTGGGAGTATACAATTAGTTTACAACTCTTGTTGCAGTCGGAAGACACCAAAGTGAATCTACTCTACTCGACGCCGTCGTGCTACCTGAAGGCCCTGCACGAGTCGGGCGTCACGTGGCCCAACAAGACGGATGACTTCTTCCCCTACGCAAGCGATCCCCACGCCTATTGGACGGGATACTTCACCAGTCGACCGGCCTTTAAGTACCTCGACCGATACGCCAACAACCAGCTACAGGTACTAGGAACATTTCAAGGGGGTTGCTTCTTGGGCAAGTGGGTACATGGTTACAAAAGAAGAAAGGCATTAAAACGCCAAGATAGAAAACAAGAATCACCAGCAGAAGCAGAGACAGTTAGATAAAGCGGGCTACTTCTGTTGGTGGCCGCCTCTGTGTGTGTGTCTCAGTCTTCTCAATATTTTTTTACGTTTAGAGACTTTCTCCGAGTATGACAGACGCTTTGCTGGAATATGTACACTGGCGTGAATTGTGTTAATGGCTTGTTGTTCCAGGCGGCTAAACAATTAGGTGTCTTGGCTGGCCCCAGGGAAGTCACGGAAGCCTCTCTTGACGTATTACGTAAGTGTACTTTATTTTATATAATGCGTACCTATGAGCAAACCTTCATTTTTTCAGCCTTCACCGGATAAAATCATTTGCCGTGAAAAATGGCAAGAAAAAATGATAGATTCCACGTACAGTGGGAATCCATGATATGCGAAGCACGAATGAGGAAGGTTGAAGTGTCAAATTAAAATCAGCGAGCATTATGAGGCGGACTTTAATTATGCCGTACACGACTTTCATGACATGATTATCATGTTTGCGCCTGGCATTTTGCGATCAGTCTATTCACGTCACGTAATACCGAATTTAGTACATGTGAAGCCACAGCGAAGCAACCAGAAGCGCGCTATGAGCATGGCATGTCATGTTTTACGCGGCACGTTTGTCATGATTTTTATGTTTGGACGTGTCATTTCTCTTCGTCATCTATTCACGAGAGGTAATACCAAATTTGGTATATGTGAAGCTAGCTAAACGGCCGCGAGCGCATATTGAGCGTGGTATGTAGTCATTTTTTATATGACATGCATATGAGAGATTATCATGTTTGCAACAGTCATATAGCTTCATCGTCCACTCACGTAACGTAACGCCAAATTCGGTACGTAGATGGGAAACTAGCGAAATAGCCCTGATCGAAATATGAGCGTAGCGTGTAGTTATGTTTCACATGACACGCATATCACGATTATCATGTGTGAACGTTTTATTTATGTTCGTCGTCCGTTCGTGTCATTTATTACCAGGTTTGGTATATTCTTGCGAAATGAATGCGAGCACATCAACAGCATGGCATGTAGTCATGTTCTCACATTACACGCATGTCATGAGCATCATGTTTTACCAGTCACACACCTTCGTCATCTATTGACGCCGCGTTATGCCAAATTTGGTGTATGTGAAAATCGAGAAATGACTGCTGGTGAATCGTCAGCATGGCATATAGTCATGTTGTTACATGACACGCATGACGCCGGTTAAGGTACTCGGCTGCTGACGAACAGGTGGCGCGATCGAATCCCGGTTGCGGCGGCTGCTTGTTCGATGGAGGTGAGAATGCTGTAGAACCGTGTGTTCAGATTTCGGTGAACGTTAACGAACCACAGGAGGTAAAGATATCCGGAGCCCTCTTCTACGGCATCTCTTATAACCTTTAGGCAGTTTTGGTATGTTAAACCTTACATCTCAATCAATTAGATGACACGTATGTCATGATATCCACGTGAGGGCCTGCCACTCATGTTCACCATGTATGCAGTCATGTCATACCATACCTTTGGCACTATGTTATGTGAACAAAACCACCGCAGGAGCCGCAAGACCCTAACATGTTTACATGACATCCATGTCATACATGTCATGAATTTCATGTCATGACTAGTCACTTATGCTCTACGTACAGTAATGTTATGACATACCAATTCCGGTATATATCCCATTATCCAAACGGCCAGGAGAGCTAAAAGTCTTCGGTGGCTAGATAGATAGACAGGTGTATAAATGCAAACTCGCCGAAGTTCGTTAAGAAATGCTTCACGTTTAAATAATATGGTTGACCCATCCGTCATAAAAATCGGTAAAACGCGAAAGTAAACATGTCCTTACAGAAGTATTTTAATGTTTACTGGGTAATTACGTAACAAAACTTGGGCAATGTGTAGTGGTGTTTGACAGCTACAGCTACGCTTGACGTGAATGCATCCACATTGAGGTTAAGTCACACATATACCTCTCGACGACTAACGTCGACCATGAATGATTAAACAGACCCATAGTCATGGATGCATGTGGTATCTGTAGTAGTTAACGGTGAGAGTGGAATCAAAGAAGGCGATGTGACATCCAGAAGGTCATGACTTATTGGACACTGAACTTGGGCTAAGTTCGCTTGTCATGAGAGTGCCCGACTACTGCCCGACTTGAGGGAGACGAAACGCACACTGTGTCTTGCTTTTGGCCAGCTGCGATTATTCACGCGGCGAGCGTAAGGGGGTAACGCATAGCTGTATACCAGGCTGTAAATCCAGGCGAACCAGATGTGTTTCAGAGGTTGCCGGGCTATCATGTTATCGGTGGACGCTATGAGCGACGCTGACGCTGGGGCTAAGATCGCCCCTTGGGGGTGTATTGAGGCGTTGAACAAATTACACTTCTACTATTGAAAACGCGCCGAATAGACCAATCTCACTACGAGTTGCACTACGCCACTGGTACTTGGAGTAAACGGCACGTTCGGCTGCATTGGTGAGATGCAACAACGATCTTTAGCAACCACATTTGTATGAATTGGGATGATTGGTTTCACGTGCTGTGTGCTGTGATGCTAATCGAGCAGTCTGCATGGAACGAAAGGACTCGAATACTTCACGTGTTTTCAAGGAATATCACACTCGATAACCGGTGAATTTCGACGGAGTGAGAAGCATCGCGCTCTTCCAGTGTGCAGTCGAAAATGTTCGCGAGTTCAGTGTGTACAACATAATGCATGCTAGTTCAGCAGTGCTCTAAATACAGCACTATTGCATCACAACAAGCTTTATGTGCGACCGGTGGGCCGATCAGCGACAGTGAAACTTCGCCGTCAGAGGTGCCAAATTGGATACAACGTATTTTCAGAGCAACACAGAGATCACCTTAACGGACCACTCACTAAAGGCGGTGGTGACCATGAAGTGTATTGCCTAAATGAGGCCTGTGATAGAAGTGGTGCTTATAAGTGCGTGTGGCACGTGTACGCAGCTGCACGCCAGGCAGTGCACAGTAAAAACACTGCCGTGCCAGCATCGCAGCCAAGAACGCCGCCAGAATCACCCCATTCCTTTCAAGATGGGATATCATGAACGCGACTTACAGGGGCAACAGTGGTAGCAAAGCTTAGCTTCTTATATCAGTGTTGGCGCACTACAGTTTCGAAGCGGTAGGCCTATCGACGATACCGGCACCGGGCCATCGATCCGCTGAAGCCGTCGCCGGTAGCCACGGTCTGGACTACCAGTTATCCTCCGCAATGTGTGTGTCACCATGGCCTCTGACTGACTGACCCATCTATTGTGCACTTGGAAATATATTTCTGTTCACAAGATTTCTGTGATGGTAAGGTTTTAAAATGGCAAGTGGCAGTCGACGTTACATGCAGGCGCTTCACGGAGACTGTTTCATAATCCTTCACTTTGATCTAAGACCTGCGTTCACAACTGAATGTACATAAAAGGTGTTGCTTGGACGGAAAAGATGTGCGAAAAACGCCGGCCTGCACGGAAGGCGCAGCACAGTCACAGCGAAAGCTAGAAGAGCGGCCTTTCAAAGCCTTTTCTAAACGCTCATTGGGTAACTACTGCAAGCGCACATGCTTGATGCACATTACGTAATTAATAATAAGTTTATTTGGGTAGTAGGCGGCCATATGCTATTCTTCGTCATTCTTCGAGGAATTATGGATGCAGTGGGTATGCACCACAGTTAATAGGGGAACAAAAACAAGCTTTTGAGATAGGTAGGAGCATTGGACGGCCCACTCGATACGCTATTCGCATTATGGGATGACTGTTTGGTCTTTGGCTGCTTTGAAACGCTTTATCGGTAGCATTGACGCGATTGCTTTCCTGATATCAAGCCTGCCTAAGGCAATTTCGCGCACATGTCACAAGCACTGGTGTATCTCAGTGGTAGAATACTCGGCTGGCACACAGCGTACCCGGGTTCGAGCACCACTGTGTGATCAGTGCTAGGTCTAGCCTGCCTAAGGCAAGTCGGACAACACGTTACAAGCACCGGCGGAACTCACTGGTAGAATACTAGGCTGGCACCTGGTGGACGCGGGTTCGAGCCCCACTGTGTCATTGGTGCTAGGTTTTTTTCTAATTTCGCGCGATGTGGTTACGGACAACGGCGGCGACGGCGGCGGCGAACAACTGCGCGTGACCTGAGCTGTGATCCCATAACAGCTTTCGCTGTAAAAGCTGTCACGCGCTAACCCTAAATCGCACACCACACACCGCTACGTCTTGCCACTCCACTCCAACCAGCCCGACTCCCCCTTCCCCACACACGCCACCCCCACCACTCCAGTCCCAATGATGATGATGACGCCGTCCCGTAGTGCCCTCTCTCGGCCAAGTCCCGATGATGATGACGCCTTCACGTAACGCCCTCTCTCGGCCACCCTCACAGGTCTCCCCTCCCTCAAAATGTGAAGCCACCACTACACATCGCCTGCAGCGTCATGGTACAGTGTCAGCTGATCTGCGTGTCTCACACCGTGGCGACGACCCGTTTTGGGTTCCACTAGAACAAAGTCATTCTGTCCTACACGTCTAACTGCCCGAAAGGGACCGGAACGCCGGGGTGCAAGCTTCGAGGAGAAGCCCTTGGTGGCATCGCTGAGGGAGTTGCTTTCGAGCAGAACAAGATCACCCTCCTGTATTGTCCGTGGCCGCCTGTGCTGGTCGTAGCGAGTCTTCTGAGCGCGCCACACGTGGTTTTGGTATGTCCTGGAGAAGTCAAGCACCTCCTGCAGACACTTGGAGACCTCAGTAGCAAATGCACGGTATGCTGTCGCAGGAGGCTCCGCGTCGTCTTTGGCCTCAGCCTGTGTCCATGGGGTTCTCAGCTCCCGGCCATAACAGAGGAAGGCAGGCGTGTAGCCCATGACTAGGCTGGCACCTGGTGGACCCGGGTTCGAGCCCCACTGTGTCATTGGTGCTAAGTTTTTTTTCTAATTTCGCGCGATGTGGTTACGGACGCCGGCGGCGACGGCAGCGGCGAACAACTGCGCGTGACCTGAGCTGTGATGCCATAACAGCTTTCGCTATAAAAGCTTCTATATGAATTCAGCGAAGCGAAGCAAGCGCATTAACACGCCGACATGACATGATCACATGTAAGCACTGTCGACTTGCTTCTTTTCTTTGTCTTAACGCAAGGATGTGCAGTGTAACCTGAAATACAGTAACATGCACTGAAGGTTGGGACTCGAGTTGTCGCCAGGTTGACTTGTCTTCTGAAAAAAAAATCTGAAATAATTCGATATCTGAAATCTTAATTGTCTTTGCACCGTTCATTCATCCCAAACGCCAAAATACTTGAAACACGCAGTAAGCAGGCGCCCATGCAGCGCCCTGAGTACTCAATCCAAGATGGCCACAGCGGTGTTGTCGGAAATCCGCGCATGCGCACGTCATCTGCTCAGAGCAGTCTGTCGAATGGATGCTTATAAACGACGCTTTGAAGGAAGTAATCACGGATGTCACGATCACGATGCATTACTGCAAGTTACCAAGAACGCTGTAAAAGGGCTGTGCACATAAAAAGCGTATTTTTAAAAGCGTGCAAAGTATGGAACCTTAGCGCATCGACAAATGCAAACAAATGTGACCGTGGCGCAGCAGAAAGCGTGCCCAGCATCTGTTCTCACGAACCCAGAGCTCGTGGGTTCGATTCCTATTGATGAAACATTTTTTTTTGTGTTGTGGTCATGCGCATTTTTTCGTCGTCATTTTCCTGGTGGAAATACCTCACTGAATTATTTGTTTACACCAACATAAAACCCCTCAATGTAAAAGGTGCCATTATCCTTTGTTGCAGGTGAAACATTGGCTGTTGGTCAGCACCACGACGCAATAACGTGAGTACAAATGTTCACCTGTGTGTCTCTACACAAGGCATTCACGTGTTCGCGATCGTAGAAATTTTGTGCAACCGAGTGAGTCAGCCTTTGCCTTTGCCACCATTGGAGAAGTCGCGTGATCACATTACGACTTCTTGTCGCTCAGAAGCCTATAGTTACCGCTGTTACCGTATTCATGGGTGCTCTGTAGCTCTCCGCATGACCCTTTCCGCTGACAGTCGCGCAGCCTTGCCGTAGAGCTGCGACTCCGTTAGGCATAGGTATATTTTTGCACCGGTGCACGCATACGATTTACCTTTGATTTCCTATAGTAGAGAGAGAGAGAAGTAAATGGCAATAGAAACACTTGAAGGTTAACCAGGTTTCTTTCGATCTGCTACTCTACACGGGAGAGAAGTGAAGGGAAGGAAAAAAGAAGCGAAAAGCAGAAAAAGAAGAACCCAACAAAACAAGGACGCAAATAGCATCCTTCACCACGCATACCCAGAAGCCACAAACTTAGATCAGTGTCATAGCAAAGTTCGTCTGATTGTCCTCAGTAATTAATGTAAAAAGGAACCCGTCACATCAGTGAAGACTTACAAGGACTGGCCCCAAGCTACCCAGAATCTTGATTGCGCTTCAAGATGGTGGAAAGCTTGTTCTGGTTACGCACCATATATAGATTCAACGGTGTGCATACGTGCTAGCGTTAACTGCCCTTTCTTCGCCTTCTTCGCCTACGTTTTCGTTATCTCTATGTCTTCGAAAATTATTCCAGGGGAACCGCCAAGCAGGCTGTTGCCAATGACTACGTCAAGCACATTTCTATCGGTCTCCACTCAAGTGATGTGAGTAGGTGTTTCTCTACACGTGTCTGTGATTTAGCAAGGATATTAGTTTAGGTGAATAACCATACCCATTCGCTACTACCATATTTTTCAGAAATATGCAAACTATGCTTTCGAGAAACTTCTAAGTCTACACCCGCAAGCGAAGGTGCCGGAATTCGTCCGCTGCCACACTCTGAACATCAGTGCCTGCGATATTACCGAAAAGTCTAAAAAGGTGAGTGGCTACGCTCAGAGACACCCTCATGACTTTTGCATGAAACAATTACTTAAGATACACGTATAAAACGCGAAAGAAGAAATCCTCACCGTTAGAAAGTGTGCACACGGAAATGTCTTCAGTGCAATCTGATGCTTTGTCAGCATCTGCAAAGTCTCCACAGCTATACCTTATTTCACCAGAAAAAAAAAAAGACGGAGATCGTGATCTAAGCCAGCCAAGTAACAATATACAACACATCATCTGTCGTTCTCTTCGCCCTTATAGGAAAAGCTTAAACAAGAATTTTTCAAAGAAATGGCAATAGAAGTCAGCGGTAAATATCTCACATTTTGCCAGTGACATTTCGCTTCTCCGCAAATACTGTGACATATCGCAACAAATTATTGATGCCCCCAACTAGCAGAGTGCTAAAATCGGAGTTAGGAGTGCAAGGCATGCGAAATAATATGACTAGGAAGAATGATGTCACTACCTGAACGATGTACAGTGCTTCGTAGGATGCATTACACATGCTTAATGTTTCAAATCTTTCATTTGTGAATTTTTTACACCACCTTCAAATCTAAGGGCGCTTACAAGAGCATTATTTAAAGAATTTCAAAACTATTTGTATACCTGATATTTGATTCCTACGTCAAATAAGCAAGTGCAACAGTCGCTTCTTTACGAGGAATTTTTGGGTATTCAATAGACTATGATGCAGGCAATCTTTGCCACACTTCTATTATTTTAGTGCATGTTACATTGTCATTCGTATCAACGATAGTTCTTGCACAGTGGTTTGGGAGAGTCATTTAGGGGTGAGGCTCCTAAAGGCATGGGCCTGTTCCTTCCTTCTTTGTACGTGATCGCCTATGGTTTCACCTGTTTGTTTGTTTGTTTGTTTGTTTGTTTGTTTGTCCCATTTTTCCTGGCGCAACCCATCATGGGGGATCGGCCATGAAACGAATGGTGCCTTGCTATTTAAAAGGAGGTGTTCATAATTTCGAAATGATAAATTTTTAATGAATATGCTTGATATTGATAACTTTTCTTATCGGTGAACTTTGCATTCAAATCTTTTCGTTTCCCAAAGGAAATTGCAAACGGCCTCGCACACGCTTCTGTGGCTAAAAGCCAGCACGGTAGTTTCACCTTTACCAACTGCCCTCTACTTCGTCCTTGCAAACATACCACTACAACCAATCACCGATCCACCACTTCACCGATCATAAAGGAAATACTGTTCAGAAGTTGCCAATATATAATGCAAGATGGTCGTGTACTTGCATCCAGGTGTGCGGCAAAGAACCATAGATTGTCCAACTGTGTTCACTCCTTGTTTGTACGTGACCGCCTATAGTTCCACCTTTGCAAACTTCCCACTACTTCGTCCTTGAAAACATCCCAGTACGCCCCATCACTTATCCACCACTTCACCGACCATAAAGCCGTTATAATGAAGGGGGATTTGAAGCGATGCACAGTTGCCACTTACGATTAAGAAAATTTCTTGTATAGATATATATGCTGTGTTTGTAACATCTTTGATGATGTAGTGGGTGATATTCGTGGATGGTTCACGGTTTAGCGATGAAACCCTCCAGCGCTTCGTCCCGCTCATCATCATTCACTCCATGAATATGCTGTGATTTTTTTCTCTGTCCTCTTAAAATACATGAAACATTCTCGGATAGTGCCAATGGTCATAAAGTGTTTCTTAATAACCCCTCAATCACCTCCACTCTGTCAATAAAGTGAGTGGAGGCCATGTCTTGTTTGCGGTCATCATTTAGGTGTCGTACTTTTAAATCGTAGTCAATGGTTCAGCTTTCGGTTGTAAGTGATAATTTTCATTTCCTATACTTTTAAATCCAGTAATTTATTCTTTGTTCTCTGGTTTTCTAGTTTTCTGTGTTAGCTTACAACCCGCAAGCGACACCTTTCCACGTCCATCTGAGGGTGCCAGTTGTGGGCGAAGGCTGGCGTGTCCTTCGACAGCAATCGCGTGGAGGTGCCTGCGGAAGTAAGTTGAACAGCTGGAATCTTGTGGCACAATTTCTGTGCCCCACTTTATCCTGTACACGTTGTGATTTCACGTTGTGGGTGCGGCTACATGCCCGGCAGCCACTCTATTGTGGCCACAAGTAATAATATACTAGAATAGACACGAGGCGTGTCTCTTCATGAATCTATTTTCACACTTATGCGTATAGCATCAACTAAGATGGAGGACAGCACGCACAACCGACAGACCACTTCCTCGTTGTCGTCTTCTGACCGCTGATATGTTATCAACGTAGCAATATATTCGTTCGTCCTGCAGAAGCTTTTAAAAACTTAGTGTTCATGGATTCGGGCAGTAGTATTGACTGAAATACATGCGATGAGAACTCTCATGGCTCAGATTACGCATAGATAATAATACAGAGTCCTATGATGCTCAGGAAAGAAGAAAAAGCAGACAGAAGGAAGGGAGGCTAACCGAAATAGTGTCCGGCTGGCTACTGTACGCTTGAGGAAAGAAGAAAGATGAGAGACGGGATGAAAAGCATGCCCGAAATTAGCTATATGAAATTGAGCCGGTGACGTCTGTCCGTGACGTAAAAGGAGAATAGCGTTTGACAGCGCCGTATGTTGCCTTTGCGAGGCACGATATCCAAAGATGGATATTGCCTTCGTTGCTTAGAACGATATTTACAACGCTGAACTTCGACCTTCATCCGGACTTTGTTCACGTGAAGCTTCGCTTCTTTGTCGGTTTTCGTTGGGGGTTGCCTTTACAAAAGCATATGTATAACCCTCATCCGATTCACTGACCGTGCGGAATGCGACGTCTGCGGCACCAAAAAAGACATCGACCATGAGCTATGCCGTTGCCCTTATTTGCCTCTGACAAACCAAAACTGTGTGACGCATTGCGACAATTGGACGATCGGCTAGTACTCTGTGCAGATGCTGCTAGAGCACCATTCTCATCTTTCGTATGCTCAAAAGGCAGTCAAAGCCCTCTTGCGCTTTTTGAAGACTATACGGCTCTATTTGAACGCCTTTAACTTTTGTGAGTGCCAATGCTGCATACGCGTCAGCCCATCGCATCACAATTTTTTGTCTCTTTCTCTTTCCTTTCCTCTCTCTTTCTCTCGTCTTTCTACTGCCTCTTTCCATTCCCCTAGCTTAGGGTAGCAAACTGGTCATGTGCCTGGTTAACCTCCCTGTCCTTTCTCTTGCTGTTCTTTTCCTTCCTTCCTTCCTTCCTTCCTTCCTTCCTTCCTTCCTTCCTTCCTTCCTTCCTTCCTTCCTTCCTTCCTTCTTTCCTTCCTTCCTGAACGTTTTGAGTCAGAAGATGGCGGAAAAGCTTTTCTTTTTTCAGGTTTTCACTACCGCGATCCTCGCTCTCGTGTTCTGCTGTGTGAGTAGAACGGGAAAGCGAGGATCACACTTGCCCCCCTCCCCCCCAAATCATGCGCACGCCAATGATGACATCAGTGCATGCATTCGCGGCGCACAAAGAGGTTTATAATCTTTGACACGGTAGTTTGTACTTTCACTGTAATCATGAGTATGTGACCTTGTATAGCGAGTGCAGTCTCTCCTGGTAACGGTGCTGTGACCAGTGGCAGCAGCGGTTCAGTGAATGCTCACTAACACGAAGCAGCCTGCACTCGGTGCCATGCGGTGAGTTGAGTTGCCAAAATCTAAGCAAGTCCGCTGCGGTGGTGTAGTGGTTATAAGATGCTCGGCTGCTGACACGAAGGTTGCAGGTTCGAGCTCGGACGCGGCGGTCGCGTTTTGCTTGTGGCAAAACGCTAAAGGCCGTGTATTGTGCGATGTCAGCGCATGGTAAAGAAAACAACAAGGCCAAAAGTTGCAGAGCCAAACACATGGTACGCTTCAAAATCGCATCGTGTTTTACAGCGAAAGCTGTTATGAGATCACAACTCGGGTCACGCGCAGTTGTCCGTCGCCGCCACTGCCGATGTCCGTAACCCCATCATGTGACATTTTTTTAATATTTTTTTGACTCAGTGGGGCTATAACCCGGGTCCGCTGGGCGCAAGCCAAGTATTCCACCACTGAGCTACACTGATCCTCGTGTCCTTGTAGTCAAACTTGCCGCATGCAGGCTTGATGTAGGGAAAGCAATCGCGTCGATACGACTTATAAAGCGTTTTAAAACATCGCAAGAACAGCCAGTCGTCGCACAATGCGAATAGCGTAACGAGTGGGCCGTCCAATGCTCCAACCCATTACAAAAGCTTGTTCTTGTTCTCCTATCAACGGCGGCGCATACCCCTTTCAGCCATAATTTCTCAATTGTCGTCAGCCACTGCATGAACAATTGGCAGAAAATTCCTTTTATGTGTTTAGCGGATACCACGCTTCTCTGAAGAATGATGAAAAATAGCACAGCGATTGCCGGACTGCTACCCAAATAAGTTAATTAATAAAGACCTTGTGGGTATCAAGCAAGTGTGCTTGCTTTAGTTACCCAATGAGTGTTTCGGAAAAGCTCTGAAAGGCCGGTCTTCTAGTTTTCGCTGTGACTGTGCTGCGTCTTCCACGCAGGCCTGCAGTTTTTTTTTCTTGCATGTAAAACAATAGGTGTTATTACTAGAGCGTAGGCAAGAGTCCTAGTGGTGTAGGCTAAACGAAATCTTGAACGAATCTTTGCTTATGTCATTCATAACCTAGAGACAGGCTCTCTTGCATCAAAGGGTATCATGGCGTTAGCGCACAAGGTCGATAAAAACGGAACGGTACGACCGATATAAGTTTCAACTGAATTTTCGGTCAATTGAAAGTTAGCGTTTGTCCCGTTGAGTCTATCTCGTCAATATTTGCTTACGCTGTGGTACAATCTGATGCATTCAGCCAACTAGCCTCCCGCAAAAATACTTTCTGGGTCATCCTTAATTTAATTGTCTTGCTTTATGGCTTAGTCCTATTGTTTTATATTTATTATTTCCTTTTATATCATTATTTGTAATTTTTGGGTATCTCAATGCCGTATTCAAGCTAATGCAAACACTTTTTTGTGTACAGAGAAACAAGAAAGAACGCTGCCGAACAAACAAAAAAAAACATTTCTTGTCTGGGGCTTTGTCTGTTAGAGTAAAAGCTAAAGCCATATTACTTGCAAATTTCAGATTAGTTGCCTTTTATACTTTAGTTTTTTTTCTGTATTATTTCGAACTCCTGCGGAAAGTTCGAATACATTCATTGAATTTTTTAAACGACTGCACACAGTAACTCCATGTCATTTCTACAGTACTCATTTTTACCCATATTTATAGGTCACAAAGATACCAACGGGTGTGACAACCCTCCGGGAAAGGTCTAGCAAGGCTGACCGCGAAGTCGTCTTCACCGCTGACCTCGCGGCTTTGGGCTTCACAACGTATTTCATCGAATCTGACAGCTCGAAAAAGTGTCTGACACATCAAAGAAAAGGTAACCCGCAGGACAAGAAACCCGTAGTCAGTTTGTTTTGAGGGGTTGGTCTCTTGGATATTGTACATTGCAGAAATGAACAACCTCACGTTGCGGTTGGACTACGTTTGAGGTTAGAAACAGTGGGCCCATTGCTGAAATGCATGTCTAGTGGCAAAGCTCCTTAAAGCGGCACCCGTTCGTCCCTCGTAGTAGTCGTTGTCGTAGTGTGTAACTAGTCTTTGATTTTGGACCTCACTGGTGGTGCTGGTGGGAGATTTCTTCTGTGCGTTGTTGAATAATCAAAAATTCGCAGCGTGCGCGCTAACTAAAAGCAGAATTCTCCAGTCTCTCATTCCCCATTAGCAGCCATTGGCATGTACATTGAGCACTATCTGACAAGAAAGGGTTGCTACGTTATACTCGCTGGGCGTAACCTTTTTGGTTTTAAAAAGGTTTTAGCGAGCGTTGGCCCGCAGTGCCATAAATACAGTGAACTGGTATATACCATGAACTCGAGGTGGTTATAAGGTGGGTAAGCAGACACGAAGCGCAAGCCGTAAGAAAGTGTGCGTGTGCCACCTCTCGTTTAGTCTTTGGAATGTCCGCTGGTTGTCGGTGCTTCTATAAAGGGAATATATTATAAAAAGATGTGAGATGGTCGTACTTGGAGTGTTAAATAGATGACGAACGGACACACAGACAGATGCATGGATGGACGCACGGATGGCTGCACTGATGGATGGACGCATGGACGGACGCAGGGGAGGATGCATGGACGAACACAGGGACGGACGGCACAGATGGACGTGCGGACGCACGAACAGACGCACGCACGGACGGTCACACTGACGGACACATGGACGGACGGATGCTTCGCCCCACTCTCCATCATTCACTCTGTGGATATGCTGACATTTTTTTTATAGTTGCTCAGTTTATTTTGCATGATAGCCCTTTGATTGCAGATAAGATTAAGAGCACATGCTTTATAACGGAAATCAAAGCATTATTCTTTCTTACTGCTTTGTTATCACATGCCGAAAAACAGGGCGAGATAACTTTGGCGAACACCTTTGATTCAGTAACCATAGCTAAGACTTTCAAGAAAAACCTATCAAGAAAACGTTTTTTTTTCTTTTTTTTGCTACTTGATTTAATCCTTGAAGTCTTTCTAAAAACGAAAGCTACAACGTGCGCCTTGTGAAGGTAACAATTTAGGGGCACTTTTATGTTCTACTTTATTTTGGATAGCGTGTTAAAATACAAACACAAAACAAGCCGAATTATTTTCCCACTGTGGCTGAGCCGAATAACAGCGGTGGTCACGTTTGTATTCGACTGGTATAAGTTATTGCAAATTTGTTTACTTGTTAGCATCGCCATCTGTTTTGCTTTACAGAACACTCACGGAATGCCACTGCGGCAACGTGCGATGATCCCGGTACCGAAGAAATGGTCCTTAAAGGAAAGGTAAGAAATAGACGCCGCCATGCTTCACGCATTGTAGCATTTACTGACGCACTTTGTACGTAGCTGCACATTCAGGGCCTTGAAATAGTGGAGTGATTATGCTCCGATCCTGCATTATTTCTCTGCACTTTGCGATACAAACTGTGGCCCCAGCTATCCTATCGATGTATGGCTGGGCAGTCATAGTCAACGGGGGATGAAAAAAGAGAAAGCATCGAGGTTAACAGACTTCTATTGCTCTATGCTTATTTATACACTTTCTCTCTTGGGGTGTGTTTCTCATACGATTATCTCATTGACCGCGCCTTACCGTAGTCATTCTGAAGTCGCATTTGTTATCATCAGTTTCGTTCACAGTGCAGAAGAAATCATAGGCGGGCTGGCAGGTATATATTCGTTATGACAACTTGGCAACGCAAATAAGCGGGACAAAGTTAGAAGATAGTTTGTACTGCACTTTTTATGTAGCTTCTTAATTTCTCCTGTTTGTGTGCGATGTCAAGTTGTCATTTACATTGCTCTCACTAGCGGGAAAGGAGCAGGCTCTATATACAATAGCATTCCGTAGGTGCTTCTAATTTCAATGCTAACTTCAAAAAAAAGTATCACGCTGTCCGAGCAAAGCGCCGCAAGCCCTACTTTACATTGGATCCCGTTCTGCCCCTCATGATGACCTGCGTCACTTTAACACACTGGTCTGTTTGAATCCCATACTATACTGTTTGGCAGTCTGATCTCGAAGCCTCTACGCCTGAGATGGGTCACAAAAAAGTTGCATCAGAGTGAAGCGACTTGTATCTATCTATGTTATATTTCTACACTCTTATTTGGGAGATTTCTCTCGCACCCCTTTTTATATATTGCTTAATAGTCGCCTCTTGAACTCAGCGCAAGACACCTTGGACGATTTGCAGAGTACCGCAAGGAAAACCGTAGTTTTCGGTACCCGTATTCAGAAATGGTACATAGTACGAGATAATCAGCAAACGTAAGGCTTCCGAGATCTGTTTTTGTTGCTTAGAGGAGTAGCGTATGTTAATAGAGTGAAGTGCTACCAACGGTAGCACCTCTAATTTTCAGGGGCGAAGCTATTTACGCTGTGGCTCAGTCACTCCGTCGTTGTTCGTCATAGCCACTCCCGGCTGCTTCTCACAATTCACACTATGTGAATTGATCACTAGACAGCGTAGAGGCGCGCGCAGCGTGTGGGAGTTAGCGTAATAGGAGAATGATCATTCGAGACAGACAGACAGACAGACAGACAGACAGACAGACAGACAGACAGACAGACAGACAGACAGACAGACAGGCGGGCAGGCGGGCAGGCGGGCAGGCGGGCAGGCGGGCAGGCGGGCAGGCGGGCAGACAGACAGACAGACAGACAGACAGACAGACAGACAGACAGACAGACAGACAGACAGACAGACAGACAGACAGACAGACAGACAGACAGACAGACAGACAGATTATCATTCACTCCGTATATTCTGTAGATGTCCTTTTTTCAGCCATGCGAACGCCCCAGAGACGCAGGAAACGCGAAAGCGCCTGTTGCCAAGAGGCGCGAGGGTGGTCATCTGACGTTTGTATGAAATGCCCGCTTTTCACTCAAGGTCATGTTCACATGACACACATAACACTTTAGCCGCAATTAAAAGAGCTTCGCTTGTAAAATAGCAAACACAAACAATCTCTGGAGAACTAGAGTTGGCTTTCCCCATAATTCTCAATCATACGGGCGAGTTAGAAGCTTAGGTGTTATAGCTCAGTTTGGCGAATATCGCTGTGTCACTTGAAGGGCCGCGTATAATTGAGAGTTGAGAGCGTCCAAATTTTAGGTGTTAGCGTAGCGTTAGTGTCAAGTTGGCCTGATGTCAGAACCTTTCACGGCTATTTTTTATTCATCTATTTATTACGTTCTCATTTTCGTGAGCACTGTTTAACAATTCACCATGTAACTTCTAACTTCCCCAACCCGCTCAACCTGTGGCACCTTTCAGTTCACAATTGAGTTTGAAATGTGAGTTTTACATACCTACCATTAGCATCTTTTCAAACACTAGGTGCTGCTACTGTCCTGCGCGGTATACCTCCTTCAGGCGTGAAATATTCTTTATTCTCAACTAATGTGCCAACTTCACATACTGTAGTTCCCAGGCACTCGCTATTTTATTACAAGAAATAAAATAGAGTAATGTGTTGTTTTTGTGCGAGTTTCTCTAAAAATGTGTAATAAGCATGGAGGTGAATATCTCGTTATTCTGTAGTGGTCAATATCCCATTTTGACATAGAGAGAACGGAATCATGGCTCCAAATGTGTCTGCCATTAAATTTTGGTTTCATTCACATTGAGAAAAAACTGCTTTCTACGTTGCTAAAAATGTACAAGTTTTACTAAAGTACTCATTACGTCGGTTGTACAACGCGACACGTCGAATGACCCGTGAAACATTCTAGTGCTTTCCACAAAGTAGTCAGCTGCAGTGACACGCAACCCACTATGTTTAGGTCAAGGCATATTGTTGGCTATGCAGAATATTACATACATCTAATTATGGATGCATCTTTCACTACTTTGAACACAAGTTGGCACCACCAGCCTATAAAAAGCTGCGTACAAAAACATAGCCGCTGCCACTGAAGGGAATATGAAAATTTTAAGTCGTTCACAGAGATGCAGACGTTTAAGTAAGCCCATGGAAAGCTAACGTAAGATGCATGCAAATATGGGATTGTTAGATACCACACGCATTGGCTGTGCGGGCTGATTATTGAACACATTGACTTCCTGGGCTGTTTCAATCTATATTCTGGAAAAGTGTGACGCCCATGACGCTGAATATAATTTCCATTCAACTAGAATACCGTGTTTACTCGCGTATTACCAGTTATGTCGGCTATACATTATGATAACAGTAATAAAGCCTTCATGCACAATCATTCTAATCATTGCCTTGACTGATATACGCTTCGTTCAGTATCATTCTAATTATTGTCTTTACTACTAACACATTTTGTTTATCTGTGCTTTTTTCGTGTTTCAAAGTCGTTTTGATTTAGCGAGCTATTTTATAAGCATAAGCTTCTGTTACTACGCTGGTCAGGGAATGATATGCCAACTCCGCAGACGCTGGTATCTTGCCTTTATGTAAATTACGACAAACAATTGCCGGAAGTTTTCACCATGACTAACGAGGCGCAGTACGGAGGGAAGTGCAACGAAGCTGTAAGATGATCTTCAAGTGACAAAGCAGAGTCGGTAAATGTGAGGAGCATGTCGATGTACTATACTGCAGGTGTTGTAATTCATGGCTAATTTTGCGGGCACTGTAGAGATATAAGGTGTTCTCGCTGCAGAAGCAGTGGTGTTTACGAGTGTCGAAGCCCTGAACTAAGGCCTGTTAAACTGCGGCGAGCATGAAGCACACAGAAATTGTCAGCCAGCGTAGCATTGCACCGAAGGCCACAAGACTAATGCACAACGAAAACTTTTGTGAAGAAAATCGGTATTAAGTTACACTACATTACAGCCTGGACAAAAATTTCCTCACCCCCTGAAGGCAATCGCCAGGAAATACTCATGCATTTCTTGCGCCAAGAGAGGGCACCGTCGCTGTCAGACATTCGCCATCAACGACTTCCGCCATCGCCTTGAGAGGGGCCAGCCAGCGAACGGTCGAGAGTAAGGAGCGAGCGGACGGGAAAGTGGGGCGCCAGAATTCTCGGCTTTGCATTGGCGTTTCACAGCGGCGTCTCTAGCACACATTTTCGGATGTTCTTGAGAGGTGCCCAGCCAGCGAACGGTCGAGAGTGTGGCTCGAGGGGACGGGGGAGTGGGGCGCAGAAAGGAGAGAAGGCTAATGCCGAGAGGAGTGACGAAGCACTGCACCTACGCTCTCCTACACTCTCTCGCAAAACATGCTCCGGTTGCTAGGGGTTAGGATAAGCGCGTGCGTCTGTGGCTGTTGCAATGGGAGAGGGAGTGAGAACGCAAAGATAACAGCGGCCGGCGCGCGGCCGCTGACGTACCCTGACGCACCCTGACTAATAAAAGCAATTATTTGGCAGATCCCACGTACAATGGGAATCGATGATATGCGAAGCACGAGTGGGGAAAGTTGATATGCCATTTTCAATCATCACAACGTTAAAGGGTGGTGGTAAATTATGCCGTACATGACTTCCGTGTCATGATTATTATGTTTGGATGTGTCGTTTACCTTCGTCATTTATTCATGTCACGTGATGCCAAATTTAATATATGTGGAGCTAGCGAAACGGTCGCGATAATGCTATAGGCGGGGAAGGTTGCCATGTTCTTACATGACACGCGTCTCGTGATTATCATGTTTGCACCAGTCATATACATTCGTCCTCTATTGACGTCACGTAACACCGAATTTGGTATATGTGGAGCGAGCAAAATGGCCTCGAGTGCATCATGAAGGGCCTAAGCTACCCCAACGTAATGTCGACGCGCGCGCAGGCTGGGCACAGCGACGTTACGTTAGCAAAACGCGAGCACTCTATAGTCTGACGCCAAGCGCGACCGGCGCGACCAGCGTCCGTCATCACGGCCCGGCGGCAACCGGCACGAAATGCGACATGCTGCATTTGGCACCAATGCGTTGCCCAGACAGCTCTGCGCCTGCCTATTTTCGAGACGGAGGGAGGCTGGACGCGTTGAAACGCGCATGCGTCAAAGCAACGCAGCGCGGCGCCTGCCTGCAAGTACATGGCAGGACCGGCACCTGGCGTGGCAACGCCGGCGTTGCTGGTTGGTTGCGAAACTTTATTGAGGTCCTGCAAGGCGCGCGTCAGCGCGCAGCGGGCGTCTCCCACGTCGGGACCGTTAGGCCAAGCCTATCGGCCGCTCCGCGGGCCTGCTGGACGGCCCAAAGTTGGTCGGCCAGGAGGGAGCTGCGAAGGGCCGCCTCCCACCTGACCGATGTAGTGTTGGGGTTAGTGTACATTGCCTTGCACTCCCAGAGCATGTGCG